AAAAGTTGAAAAATTGTCTTTCTGAAAAACCCCCTTCTACACTTCTCATAAAACACAACAGTTGGTGAAAATGGTTTGGACAATAATTTGTAAACATGCAGCTTCACATACACATTGCAAGTCTCTTGATTGGGCACAATCAGTTTATGAAAAGTATTGGTTCCAATTAACAAAACCTTGAGTACCTTGAATATTTCACCATATGGAAGAGTGACAGACTTAATAAAAATAAGGAACCAAACTCACATTAGCTTGAGAAGTTATCAATAACATGGTTACAGTGCATTCACAAAAGCAGAGAACAACCTAAACACATCGCGACCCCAGTCCTTTCTTCTCGTATCTCCATTTTTAATAACAGTGAAAACAGTTCATAAAAAAGAGTGAGCTTAAGAAGATGTCACATTTTCACTATTTACAAAAAATAGAGATATGCCAAGAAAGCACTGAGGTAGTGACATGTGCACATCCATATGCACAGCCCTTTTATTCATTTTACAAAATTAAAAAAAAAATGCTATCTGCATAATCAATAAGTTGGGAGGAAGGAGGGGTATTCTTTAGCCTTGCAGTTAATACATTCACAGCTGCAAAATAAGAAACACATCTCACACATTTAGTGACATTATCATAACTCTTTTATATGTTCATTCCCTATCACACACAAGGAATCACAACATTTCTCACTGAAACATACATTGTTTACTAAGCCCATGGACAAGGAAAAGGAATGACAGAGAAATCAGATCAGAAGGCACAACAGAATTTTCAACAAAAAATCCCCTTTCCCGACTGATAAGAGTATGATATATATAACAAAATAAATTGTGGAGGTCTTGAACCCATGGAGCATAAATATATTGCACCAAGCAAAACAATATATTTTTACAACATAATAAATCATGGCAACCTGAAAGCAATGAATGATACATGGCCTTTAAGAAATGATCTTTAGGCAGGGAATAATAATAATTATATACAGTCAAGCACAGATAACCCGAACATGCAAAACTCAAATTTCCAGATAGCTCGACCAATATGCCAGTCCTCAACTGAACCGCTATATTTTCTTTGTATTGACAGCACAGTTTTCTCCTGCAACCACATCGACACGATGTCGAACAGGTTATCTTGAAAAGCCCAATCCAATTCTTTCCCATAACTGCCTTGAATAGAAATCACCCTGCACACATGATGGAAAATCAAACACACTGGTCATCATCGAGAGTACCACTTGCATAACGTTACATGAGCCCAACAGGCTCACCTCCGCACCACGCACTACGACATTGCTGGTCTGAAGACGCATCATCGCACATTACCTGAAGAGTGCATACAGAGTTAGAACTTTCTTAAATTTAGACAGTTACTTCCCTTGAGTTTCTTCGATATCACTTATTTTTCGGAATAACTGTTCATTCAAACTATGGATGTGCCAAACACATTAGTCTCTCCCCCCCCCCAACGTGTTCTGAGACACCTGTGCTCGACTGTAATAATAACTGCATTTATGGCACACATCCATGCTCCCAGCATGCTCTATGTGCTTCACATAACTGGACAAAACAGCTAAAGAGCAAGGACAGTTGGTAGTACATTAAAGCACAAAAGAGTCATGCCTCTTATTTGTGACCAAAAACCCCTTCTTGAGGTTTGGTACTATCCTGTTAGGTGGGTATAGTATAGGCCTACTATTCCTATGAAGCTTCTTAATCTCTCCACGCCCCCCCCTCCCCTGAAACAAAAAAGTTGTGTATTAGAGATAGACATCTACAATGACTTCACGAGCAATATAATAAAGCTATAAACAAAAAACTTTAACAACTAATTAATAATTTGGTCTTTGACAGAGCTGTTGAAAAAAACACAGCATAATGGTGTAGTAACTACAGCTTGACACGAATGCCAATATATTTTCGGTGTTGATAAACACAACTTGTTTGTAGTCAATGATTTACAGATTTTGGTCCCCATTATAACCATCTCGGTTATTTTGCAGTTTAAGGCTGATTGACTTCTCACACTTAGTTCAGTACAGCCCTTCACAATATACATGTTACTGTTTTTAAAAGCTAAACACACAGTGTATTTTATGAATCAGTGATAGATTCACATCACAAGCACAAAATAGGTTCCTTTCACCTAAGGGTATTGGGATGAGAAGTTAAATTTGTTTATTCCATAAACAATATTACATTCTCAAAAGTGAAAGGGAAAAGAAAAGGATATGAGGGGCCAAAAATGATTAAGGCAGACATCAAATGTATTTAAAAACTGAAATCATATAAGGAGTCCATGGGAAAAACAGGAATAGTAACCAACTGAACATCATGAGGGTATCAATTTTGAACGCTTGTTGATAATAATAATAATAATAGATAGCATTTGTATAGCGCATATCCCCGCTCAACAGCAGGCTCTATGCGCTGTACACTATATTATTACCCCAGCAGACCATAGAACACTCCGAAACATTCTCAGCTTCCCGGGAAGCATACAGTGCAAGCAGCTGATTAAGCGCTCAAACACTAACAAACTGACAAGAATGCTTGTTGACTCATAACTGTATTTCTGTTCAACGGTTGGTCGATCATTGTCGTTAGATTTCCCATTCAACAAACATAACAATAAACCACCAATCAAACAAATATGAAGTTATCAGTCCACAAGCTTTTAAAATTGACACTCTCACAATTTCCAGTTTGTGACATGACCATGCCCGTTTTTCCCGTGGACTGCTCATATGTTTATTGCATACCAGAAAACTTGAAACGTTTTTTTAGTACAGTTTTTACGGAGCTCGCAACTGCATAAGGTCATATGAGCACCAATAAACCTGATTCTGTTTCTTATTTCACAACAAAGGTGATGGCATATCAAAACTCATAACAATTAAACAAATTAAGTCAGATCTACAATTGGTTAAAACAATACTTTTCCTGGTGCACAAAGAAATATAAAGTAGAAAAAAATTATTGTGTTCGAATGCCAAGTAATCCACAATATTCATGTTTCCATAAGCTCATGTAGAAATTTGAATTCAGTAAAAAAAATCATTCTTTTCTCAAAAATTGCATCACACTTAAAACAGTAGTTCTGAGCCTGTCTGTCTGAGATTGATTATAGAAATATAAAAGCAGATTGTCTGTAATTAATATTTGACTAGATATTGGCTACGATAACTTGCTGATGGGCAGCCTTGTACTGTCAACAAAATGATGTAATTTGGACCACATTTTCCATGGAATTTTTTGGGTTAAACATTTTTACTCATCAATTGGGCTTACAATATAAACCGTGTTCCAGGCCCAGGAAGTATAAGAATACATCCATAACATACATCGAATAAAAGGAATTGCAGGAAAAAGCAGAAAATATAGAAACCATGAACGTCTGTCTTGTCTTTGTTGAGTAAAACATATTTAACCCTATCTGTACACCCTAGGGTCATTTTGTACCCCCCGAGGTTGCATTCTTCACATTATAGAATACTTCTAGTGGGAAAATCTGTTTGCACCCTGCCTGTCGGTGTCAGCTTGGGCTGAGTGGGATACAATGTCCCGGCAGACCAAGAATTACTTGGTAAAAATTCTACTCACTTAGGAACTAAATGCACATTCTCTGCTCATCACTACACCATAGACTCTGATATATAGCTGTCACTTACTACCCCCCCCCCCCACTCTTGACCTATCAAAAACTCCTTGACAAATTCTCACTTTGATCCAAGCAAATTACTCTTATAATAGTAAGACAACACAAACTCAGTCAATGATTGTATTTCATCCACTGACACCAAATTGGATGTAAACGCATTTCGATCAAATCAGGCATATGATGGTAATATTAATGAATGATGACAGAGTTCTGTGGTTTCAGGATTTCTCTACAAACGCTGTGAGCCTTTGTTCCATGTTTAAACAGTTAACCCATTTTACAGATCTCAAACCCATATTCTGAAAAGGAGCTGAATTATAATTCTTTAAAATGGATGACACAATACGAAAAGGATGCAGTAAAAACAAATCCTAAAAGGATTTTAAAAAATTAGCATTTAAAAAATAGAAGTTTCACAAAAGATAATTCAATATACTGCACTTGGGTGTAAAAATTTGCATATTGGCAGTAGCCAAAATAACAAGATCTTATTATACAGAACTCCACTAATGTATTTTGATAACATGTAGTATCAATTATTAGTGACAACAATTATATTTCAAGTTAATACCTATGAAAAATAAAAAAAGGAAATAGAATGAATGAGACGTGGCTAACACACAACTATTGGATGTCAACACAACATTTACAAATACTGAGTAGGAATGAAAACACTGGGTGGAGTGTTATTTTGCATTATTACGATAAATTGGAAGATTAATTTAAAAAACAGTGAAAAGGGGGTCAAAAAATGAATTTAATGTATCATTTCTACACGCTCAACAAACATTGAAAAAAAAACCCCAACCTGGTTTGCACTGGTTTAACTTCTGGGGGGGGGGGGGGGGGGGGATGGGTTGTTGTTGAAGGCAGAGGAGGTAACAACCTAAGTTTAGGACAACTGTTAGTAAACGTAGCCGGGAATTAAAGTAAGCGTCCATCAACGTTTCTCTGTATACACTGTAAGTAGTTTATCATTTTACACTCATTTACATAGTTTCCAAACAGATTTTATACCTTCATCCTCGAAGTAGCCCACTGACAAACCTTAATTGTCCTTCCTCTCAGTGTCAAGTACTTTTCAGGGCCAATGAAAGAGCCATTGAATCCCCTTAATAATGCACTGAGAACTTTTCATTTTTTTGTATGTTTGACCTCTTAGAAATTCAGACCAGAGTGCGTGCTACGTTTACCATTTCACAAACTGAAAGCAATTCCCAGCCGGCGATAGGTGTAATCTTCTATAAATCAAGAGTTCGTCACCTGAGACCTCAGGCACACAGGTCCTGTGAGCTCATGGGGTCAGAGTTCAAAGGGTCAAAGTCATACATAATATCTTATTATGTTCGAAGGTAGCCAGTTGTCTTATCATCTAACATGTCTTATTTTCTATTGGCCACAAGTCCAACATTTGGTAAATATGTCATGAATATGAACCCCCCCAAACAAACCAGCAGTAATCTGAAATGTTTCAACTAACAATAAACAAACAATTTTGTCAGCTTGACCTTTTCAGTAAGACTGTGTTATCTTTTAGCTTTAATCAGGCAACCAGGAAAAACAACAAATCGCTACGAGTCGTAAGAAGACAATGGTTTTATGATACCAAAGACCACAACATTTACAAGACAAGTCTCTCCTCTCCACTACAAAGGAAAGTCACATCACACAAGGCTAGAGCGGGCTTTGGGAGGGGACTTGGCCTGAGCCCCTGGCTCGTTATCTGGATCCCGGGACAAAGATGACTGTGAAGTTGATAACTTCTCTCGTGAAGCATTCATTCGGTCTTTCATCAGATTGACGTTTTCCTTAGAACCAGCCATCTTCTTCTTTTTCAGCTGATGCTTAACTCCACTACTTGGACCAGATTTGTCCATTGGGCTGTCCAGTTGTTCCCTGGAGCCTGTCAAAGGCTTCAACTGCTCTCGTGATGGGGTTCTCAAGTTCTCCTTGGAAGACATCTTTGAATTTCTTAGATTTTCCCTAGAGGCGGCCTTTGAATTCCTCAAATTCTCCCGAGAGCCTTTCATTGCTAACTTGGCAAGGTTTTCTCGTGATCCTCTAGCACCTGACAAATTCTCCACGGAACCTTTTATTGCTCGTTTCGCCAGGTTCTCCCTAGAGCTACGAGGAAGTTCTTGTACAGATGCTTGACCTCCTGAACGCACAGACTGCTCCGAGTACGATCTTTGGCGACTGCTGCGCCGGCTGGCCTCATTTGAGAGTTCAAACTCCACAGGCACACTGTCAATGCTGCCATCTCCATCTGCTTCATCATTGCCTTCCTCATCTCTGGCTGCATAAGGAAACGAAAGGTTTCTACCAGGGCAGCACTGTGGAAACATTTTTCCAAGATTAGGATTAGTGACATCCCTGATTTAGAAATGGAAGAAATGACAGGCTGGCTAAATTGTATCTATGAATATTAGAAGTGTAGTTTATGATCTTCAACTGAAATCATGTAAAAGCAGGAGATGTTTGCTATGTTAATTTCTAAACTAAAAATGTCTTCGAGCAGCTTTTAATGAATTTATACAAGGTAATGCACCAGCTCTTTGATTTCATTGCTTGCACTGAAAGGTTAAGATCCAACTCTTATGCAGTAAGGACAGCATGACTCCTGGGACGTAATGCTCTCCATCGCCAGACAAAGTAAGCGTCAAGTTTAAATGAACACAATAAGGTGGTGTAAGGAAATATAAAGTCTTTTCATTATCTTAATCCATGATAAGTCTTTTGAAAAGATCACGAAACTCACAACAGTGGGCTGCGAATACATTTATAAAACTATAACTGAGACAACTGATTTTGTATCAACATTATTTCATCAAAAGACATTGTAAACTTTAACAACATAGTGATCTTTGGAAGCCCTTATTTGCATGTATACTGGCCTCTGTTTTATGGATCAAAAATATTAGTGTTTCTCCTTCTTTGTCCTTTTCTGGAGTGGTATTTCTAAACTGTGAGGTATTCTAACATAAAGAGAGCAAAGTTGTGGCAATGATCATTTCTGTTGTCTATAGTTTCTTTAACCCCAGCCACAAGGAACGTTAACAGCCATGTATACAATGGGGTTCCAATTTCTGAATGAGTTCTTTAATCTTAAACGCCTGTCAGTAATACAGATAAAACTGATGATCTGTAAGAAGACAACCTTTAACCAAGAGAAAAACATGGAAGATAAGAATAACTAAAACAAATACAAGGAAAACATAGAGAGAAAGTAAAACCATTGTGAGGCCTAATGGTACCAGTCATCAAATAGAAGTGAGCAGTATTACCCTGGGTAAGAAAAGAGTCCAAATGTAAATTATGACACAAGCCCAGCTGGATGCCATTTTGACCCATACAGAAGCCCAGTTGAGGCCAAATCTGTTCAGATCAGTCTCCAATGGTCTGAGGAAGTGAAAAAGTGATACATTGATGAAGAATACAAATAATTTTACAAACACTCAACACAAAACACAAGAAAATGCACATTTTCAGAAGAACAGCAATGGTACAGCATCATTAGATCATGGCATCCCTTGCTGGGAATTCGCGATTGACTAATAGTTTAATTTATATTTTTAAAAAGCCAGATCTCTAAATCTTATGAATTACCATTTCTGCTGCTATTTTCTTCCAACTTCACAACATCATATAACAAGTAATCAATGAGAAATACCCCATGATCAATTTTCAGAACAATGAAATTTATTACTGAAAAAAAAAGCACATTTAATTTATTGTTTGGGAATGTAAGTTCTCGAAGCAGCTCTTGCAGCAGCACAGAAAAGTATTGAACAAATTTCATGCATCTGGGCACCTTTTGATCAAAATAAGGCAGTAGATGCTTGCCCAGCACGTCTACTTTGCACACTGCAAAACAAAGGTTGCCCTAAAAAAGAACACCAAAAGCCTTTTGCTCAAATGACCTACCGGGGCTACCATTTGTTGAAACACTGACCCATGGAGTTGCAGCAAACGAAAGTGTATATGAAAATACAACATGCACCCAACAGACCTTCATAGTAAATCACGCGGGCAGTATTGCATACAGACGTAACTAAAAGGCCACCAAAAATGACTTACATCTATATGCAATACTGCTTGCGACAGTCATCGCTGAGAAATATCACCGATAAACTCAACACAAAGAGAATTACAACAAGAGACTCTGCCCGCGACATCACCACTCAAACGCACACAAAAGAGTTCAAAGACAGCACAGCATCCAACAGTTTACACACACAAACTGGGGAATGTACTTCAGAGAACTATTACACAACCATTGTCTCATTTAGAGGAAGCACTTGCAACACAAATTACAGCCTGGAAACTTCACTCTGTGGCAGAGAAATTGATGGCACAGTTTAAAACCAGAGGACAACCATAAGTGTTTCAAAGGATAATATCAAACAGAAAACACCCCCCCCCCCCCAAACCAATAAATAAAATGAATAAATAAAAAAAATAAAAATTATAGTTTAAGGTGACATAATTCATGCATTAATGCATGACAATATGTCACTCCTTTCATGAATCACAACAAGTCCCTCAAGACATAATATCACGCTGCAGTTTTTTCCCCATTCCATAATCACACTTTTGCCAGTCGTCAATTGCAAACAGAGCTAAAAAGCTCCCTGTGACTTACCGATACCAGTTGGTGAGCTGCATCATGATATACAGTGCAGCCAGGCAGAACAGGAAGTGGAAGAATGAGTATGAATATACAACACCATCTGCCTCGTTCTGAACTACTTTCTGCCCTCCTAGCAAAGAGGGGTTGTCACCTGGGAAAGAGGAGGGAATAATAAATACATTACTGACAAGGACTTTAAATGAGATGCCAATTAACGTATTATTATTTCGTAACATTGGCTGAAAAAAGACAACCTATTAATTTTAACATACCCAGTCAGTGCAAAAAGTTTAACCTCAATTACACTGCTAGATGCATCCATTGTCTTTTAGTTGCCTACTGTTTACTTTTCCATCAAACAAAAAATAAAAAGAAGACAAAATGTGAAAGCACAGATCCAATGTAAATGGTACACAAACATTTTCCTTGAATTAAAAATACTCAGATTGCATACAGAAAAAGAGTTACAAATAAATTATTAACTTACGTTTTGTTATTATACAGCAGAAACAAGACTTCCCCTCCTGAAAAGAAATCATTCACATATAGGTAGCAACAGGAGGTAATGAAAATCAATGCCTTTTATCCCAAATATCTAACCTTCCATAACATATAAAACTTCTTGCAAAGTAATCTAATATTACCAAACAAAGGAAGCTCAAGAATCTATTGCTTCATTAAAGGACAGATCGACGGCAAAGGGTGAAAACAATTTATGCAGCCAAGGCTGTAGCAACTGTACTTTATGGTGTAAAAATGCAAAATAATATTACACTGCCATTTTCAAACTCTTACTGGACCAACTTTGAATAAAAACAACCCATCCCCCCTAAAAAAACAAGAAAAAACCCCAACAACATAAAGCCCCCTAAATATGCAGGATAGCCGAATGAGTAGATGAAAAGTGTGGTAACTACTCTGTCCACTGAAAATAAAATCAAGTTTGTTCCACACATTCCACAAATCTCCTTAAGCTTACATACAGAAAACATTTTTGCAATTTGTTAAAAGGAAAGAAAATTTATATTCGTAACATGAAGTTTAACTTATTCTAAGTATTCATTCAAAGCAAAACAAATAATGGTGTCTTACTGTCCTAATGCCCAGTTTGTGTGCATCGTGTGAAGTGCGAACACTGAAATACAAAAAAAAAAAAGTAGTTGAAACTAACAGAGTGGATATAATAATGACATAATGTAATGTTCTATAGTTTTAATATGACATGAGAATTGAATGCAAATCTTCAGCTCCATTTTTATACATAAAGAATTTTTTATCAACTCAATACTATTCAAGATTTTATTTTTTTAACGAATGCTGTTACAACCCTTTCTTTAAAGCAGCAGATGGGTCAATAATCAAAGTGTAAAGGGTTTATACAACAAGATCTTTTCAGAAAAAAAAAGAGACATATATTGTCTATCTATGAACAATGTATTTGCTTTTATCAGATTTCATAAACCAGCCCTACTCTGACCTTGTTTCCAGGAATAGCAATTCAAACGGGCGATCCTTTTAAAGTGTTATTTACTCAGTGGTAATGTATCAAACACATAACAATGTCTATATACCATTTTAAAGGAAAATGAATGAACCGCTATCATCATCAGCAAAAATTTCGTCAATAACTTGATACGTTGTGAGCATACGTCACAGCCATCAGCCATAGCTCAGAGCTAGAGTAAGACGCTGGAACTGTGAAGAGGGAGTGACGCTATAATTCACGCTATTTTGGTCATTATTGGTCTAATTAGGGGAAACTAAAGCTTCTTTAACTCAGGGATAAAAGAGCGTCCAGGGGAGCCCAATCTTGATACTAAATTGCAATTACCGGCTGAGTAGGACATAAAACAAGATAGCAATGTTGCTGGGTATACACTGTTTGTCTACAACACATAGGAGGTCCCGATTTATGGAGGAACAGCGTACGCCGAGCAGCAGTGGAGCGGTTAATATCTGAAGATCTTCTTTTGCATAAAACAGTACCTTGCATAGACCGCCATAATGAACATGATGAGAAGCCCAGCGTAAGCTGCAATCAGGTCGCTCTGAGGGAAAGATGGGTCAGGTCGACATTGTGCGGTGTAGTTGTAACTATCTTCAAACGCCTTGTCCGGAATTTTGCTTGAATCCAACACCCTCTCTACAGAAGAGCCATCATCCGGGTCTGCACCAAAGTAAGCCATTGTTTTCCGATTTAATGTGTCCAGGAGACTTTCAACTGTAAGGAAAAATAAAGGCAAAAGGAACATGATCGGGCTTAGAATATGACAACATAGAGGTTAGTCAGCTTAGGCCAACCAAAGTACATGGTTCTGACCCAAATTTGTAGAGGCACAGTCGGTGGGTAACTCGAGCTTTTGCTTAAGGCCTTCACTTCCCCAATAGTATGGCAAAAAGCATCCTGTAACAAGTCATCTCAGAAAAGACAACTGAGTACATGTTTGAGAGTATGTGGCACACATCAAATTCAAGTCACAAAGTCAGTAGAAAATTAAAGAAGAGCAGGGCAGACTTGTTCCAAATAAATTTTGTTAAACATTTAAAAAACCAATCTTTGTCTAAAACTGAAGAAACTGTGGCCAGTACAAGTAATTAAGAGAATCATCGACAATGGCTAAATAATGCCACAGTCAATGGCATTATTTCAAGTAGAATAAAATGAGCTTAACGCATAAAAATATGGTAGCAGTGTTGATTGAAGAACCCACACCAGCTTAGCACAGGGTTCTAGTTATGAAATGCCAAAGATGAAAATGAAGATGAGCAAAAACATTTAGAAGAAGAGGAATTTTTCTTTCAGTAGAGGATTTACGGCGCTCACAACTGTATCAGGTCATATGAGCGCCAAGGGATGGATGTCAACAGAGAAGTCTTACAGGGAATCAGGCTTACTCTGCTCACCCCTCTAGCTTTAACAGCACAAAGTCTGCTTCGACTATCAAGGCACCCCGGAAACAGCGGGTCACAAGAGTGAAGAAAAGGAATATGACACACTAGATTTGTTAACTTTTGAAAGCAGCAACACATTTTTTTAACACTTAATGACATTAAATCAAAAGAGACAATAAATATCAACACATGACATATTGTTGGCCAGATGTTGAAATGTACTTAGTCTAACATTTTTTTAATTAATAAAAAATGCTGTTTCTAAATCTGTGGTATTGGCTGCATATCCTCAAGAAAATATTTGGTTGAAATTTAAATTTTTAATGTTGAAAAATTTTTTTAAGCAAGAAAAATTGTACATTTTTTGGAAGAATAAAGAAGTTTTCCCACTCTCTCGTAAAACTTTGCTTTTGAGGTAAGATCATTGTAACAGCTTGTGGACAATATGACATACAACATCTCAGAGAGGGCTCTCGCGGCCTAGAGGTTAAAGGTGTTTGCCTCTCATTCAAAGGTCCCTGGTTCAAATTTGGGTAGCAACGGAAAAATTTTGTTCTCCAAGATCATCTCCTTTCACCTCCTTTCCTGCTCTCTAGCAATGTTCTGTCGACTGCTTTCCTCTCCACTTTCCGCCCTCACCCCCTCACCTCCTTTGCCCCCTCCTCTGGGCATCTGACTCTTTCTGCAGCCTTCTCCTTAGCTCCTTCAAACGGCTGTCTTTCAGCCACACCCCTGGTCTTCTGGTAGGAAAGATCTACACCTAATTTTCTCGGACAAGGGCAAACAATTTCAAAGGTCCTATGTGCAAGTTGTGCACGTTAAAGATCCCTTGGTGGTCTAAAATCTATAAGAGTAGGCTTCGGCAGCCACCCGGGCAAAATTCAAAATTTCCAACCAACTGAAAATGTATAATGTGACCAGCACGCTCATACGACCTTATGCAGTTGCAAGCGCCGTAAAGCACTTACAAAAACAAAAAAACACCTGAGACAAACCATTCCCTGATAATATGCACAATTCCTGAGCTCAGGGATGAACTTCACCTTGTTAAACCAACTCATTCCTTACACCAACAATACAAGAGCGATGAAAGCACACATAGAAATGAATGGAGAACCTTGAATGCTGATGTCTATTTCATATCTGGCACTTTATGACGATATAATATTCATATCACAATAACTCAAATTATGCTAATCAGGCACACAAAGAATGAGCTAATTAACACAGTTATGAGATCAGACCTATGCCAGGTTTGTGACTTACATTGCTCAGGAGGTTCACTCGTCAAAGCAGACCAGGTCAGATACACGACGTATAAACATATCACTGAGGCCTGGAGGAGACTAGCGTTGGCATTGCCTGAAAGAGAACATCCAATAACCGATATGTAATGGCACGCTGCAATACAAAAAGCATTTTTAAAAACAAGAATAAAGACTTAAGATAAAAAATAGGGAAAAATAGCATTGAGCCTACTCTGGGCAGCTTATCTTACAATAACAACGATGGAGCATCATCTGTAATTTATAGACATATCAAGCTCGTATTTAATACGGAAATATTTTTAAGAAAGGCATATTTAAATTAATATTCATATTAAAAACTATTCTCAAAACATACAAATTTTAAAATTCTGAGTTAAATAAAGTTCCATACCAATCATTTACACTCCAGCAATCGTATCACTTGTAAATGTACCAGAAACACATAAAGAACATGGTGAGAGTTTCTCTGATCCCAACTTCTGGCAAGTTAAGGTGGAGGTCTGGTGAGCTAAAAATTTTTTTTATTCATTGGCCTAAATTAATGAATTTGGCAGAGTGAGACTCAATGTCAAGGTGCAAAATGATCTGGGGTGTCATTCATGACAGCATATATCACTCACTGCCATGTTGACGACGGCCATCTTGAAAATAAACACAAATCTTAAATTCCTAAAATCTCAAACGCTAATCAAGATATTCAACTTTGTAGGATAGGAATAGAAAGGCAGGACCTATATTGAGGTAATAGGGTGACTATTTTTTTAATTTGGTTGTTTTCATGGATATAGCATGACTTTGAATTTCATGAAGTAAAAAAGTGTTGAAAATACACTCCCGACCGTGATATAAATGCTGATGCTCCCTGTCACATACAAAGAAAGACAAAAATAACCATCTCATTACCTAGAAATACGGATAGGGTATCACTGTGCCAAACCTCCAGTCTCTAAAGCAATAAGTTAGCGAGATTTTAGGATTTTCGTAGTATGCTGTCCATGAAAAACTCAGTTAAGAGAAAATGGCCATTGACGTAAAAAATGACATACTATGATACTTTTAGTAGCCATATAAAACAAAATTTCACATACAGTATGCTTATCTCAGAAAAACAATATACAGGATTTGATATCTAGACACATTCAGGTATTCACTTGTGCAAAAACCTCAAAAACGATATTTTGACCCAGTTTTCAGCTTAAGTCACGCTCGACCGCCCCATCAAACAAGAAGCCAAGACAAGGGCCGGATACTCACGTGTTTCCGTGCATGGCAGGATGGTTATGAAGGTCAGAAGAACGCAAAGTCCAGTGTTGATTCCAAGGAACACCCTATTTGTATCACAATCCTTGAGTCCATAGAAGACAAAGAGGAGCACCATGCCTCCAGCGGCCAGTGCAAACAATAGGATTGCAACCACTATGGTTGCTGGGAAGAAAAAAATAGATTCTTACAAGAATAGGGACAAATATATTTCAAATTGTTTTAGTAAGTGTTTTAAGGCACTTGCAACACAATAAGTGCAGAAGATTAGAGGTGTTACAAAAGAGTAACAAACGCAAAAAAGAAGGAGGAGTGATAAGGGCGATAGCTGTTAGATAGGAAAGAAGGAGCAGACCACACCAGAGCACCCGCCAACCACCCACAGGGACAAATATTTCATTTAAAGATCAGACTGCCTTGTTCACTGTCATGCTCTTTGAATACTCATACTTATGTCAAAATGAGTATATGTTAGTCAATTATATTACAGACTTTACAGAATTACATAGGGAGAGTAAATGAGATCAGACTGAAGAGACACCTAGCTGCAGGCAGCGACTCCACTGAGATGACCTCTTCCGCTCGGGTCCAAACAGTAAGTGTAATTGTTGAGAAGTTTTACACTCCCTTGACATAATTTAGATAACTTAGAAGATGGACAGCTTTGCACAGGCGATCACAGAGTAAGGTAAGAACATTTAAACTATAAACCGTGGGCAAGTCGTTCAACTGCTCTAAGCCCAAAAAGCAAAATTCTTAAAGGGAAGGAAAACACTGCATCATTCTTTTGTTCAATGTACCAACTGTATATGTATCACAACGTGGCGGAATCAGGCGCTCGTCAATTTTTGGGCATGTGGTGTTGTTAGTATCATCTGAAAGCTCATTTATTTGCCTTGCTTCCAATGAAAAAAATATCCATTTATCTTGAATAGAATTCAAGATATTTGCAATTGAAGGAAGTGAGGTCGTCAGGTTTCAGTGGTGAAATTAGCGAGAGAATGTCGCCAAAGTTTGGTAACTCCAATAGCTAAAGAGTCTTTGAAAACTGAAAAATGACATATTTTGTGCCTTTAATCCATGTTTTCCAGTAAAATTCACAAGGAAATGTGTCTTCATAGGTACCTAAATGAGGTTAAGTCAAAAAATAAAAAGTCAATAAAAATTTTCAAACTGGCGGAAAAATGCCTGTTTCTCTGATTTCATTATTTTGACGAGCGCCTGATTTCACCACGCTGCCTCACCTATGTATTTTTTTCTTGCTTTTTTCAAAGGTTAGAACTTAAATTTCGACAAAATGTTTTTCGAGCTCATGCAACGAATCCACAGAATAAGACACTGTAATGTTTTATAACATGTCAAAATTTTGCGCTTAGTACATCTGAACAGCTGGCTAACAAAATAATTTTGAATGTAGGTCTCTGAGATGAGAAATCTCTTATATTGAACCAATGGTTTAAGCTCTCAAGATAACGAAGAAGTGAGACAATCTTGCAAACAAGGAGACAGATGCTTGAGAGAAACTGGTGTGTATATGTGTGCATGTGTGTCAGTTTTTGTGTTGTGTGTGCGTGTGTGTTTGTGTTTATTGTTGTTTGTGCATAACAAAACCACACACACACACAATCTCTTTCTCTCTATCTGTCTTTCTCTCTTTTCTACTTAGCTATCCACCTATCTTCTGTTTTGTTTCTGTTCCCACCCCCACCCCCCCTCTCTCTCTCTCCTTTCCTCTCTCTCACATACATACAAATACAAAGACATAAATTGAACCGCACACAAACTATATCTTTTTCTTCTTGAACTTAAATACAGCCCATGTCGCAAATGTTTCAATCGTACAATAAATAAATCTCTACAAATTATAAACGAAAAGATCCAGTTAATTTACAGTTACTTTGAAATATAAAATAGATTAAACAAAAAATAAAGACTTAAGAAAGAAACACAATATTCGTAAGAATATGGGAATATGAGATAAAAATAGGACCACAACATATATCAGACCTTTTGCACAAAGAAGAAGCAGAAGCAATCAAAGAAGTAGGCACATAAAAGTTTGCCTGTTAAACTTTATAGGTAGTTTCACATGGCACACAAAGGGTTGTTTATAGGAGCCAGAAATACTGGAATCTGACTAGGCTGAATGTAAACAAACTTCAGAATATAGAAAAGTTCTGCAGAATGTCAGTCAACAAAGAGCACAAGCATAGCTCATTCATTATTAACAAAGTCCAATCCCATGATCAGAAAAATAAATAGCCCTCAGCCTACAGACCCTATCTACAATAAAAACCAAAAGCACAGGAACACTTACCAAAAAGCCCACATAGATTCCTACGACCTTTTGTTCTTCCAACCCTGGGTGACAAAATTAACAAGCATGAGAAAAGTTCTAGGACATCATTTCAAGTCCCTGTAAGACTATAAGGCACAACTAAAAACAGCAATGGCAATCAAAATAGAAAGCTGATAATAGAACTTAACTATCAATTACTGAGCAATGCAATTTTAAAAACAATAATGAATAAGAAGAATGCAACTGACAAAGTTCTTTTCAGAAACAACATTTTCTTAGGGAAATAATGGTGAACCAATAAGTTCTTTTCAGAAACAAAATTTTCTTAGAGAAATAATAGTGAACCAATTGTGGTAAAATATGCTTCCAAGTTCGACTAATGCGTATGGTAGATATGATGACACACAGCACTAAACCTAGATGGATGCCATGGAGTAACATTTGTATATCATTTGAATTAAATCTGTAAAACAAAACAATGACAAAAGAAAAATAAGAATTGTGAAGCCAATATCATAAATCATTTAAATTTTCAAGAGCAGTGACATAGGAATACTTACAGATACCATAATACGGTGAAATCAGAATGAATCTTACCATGAGGCATTCCAGGCATGAGAAAAGTCCACCAGCATTAACAGCTGTAACAGGATGAAAAGAAAGCCTCCAACCATCCCTACATACATCCAGTCTGAAAAAAATACAAAATACAGAAGTTCGCTTAAACTGAACACGTTTAACCCCAAAACAGGGGTAATCAGAAAAGAACATAAAATCCATAATATTTTTATGCTTTTCTTAGAACAACCTCTCTAAACTGAAAACCAAAGAAAATGCGGGGCTCTTGCAGATTTCAGTTTAAATAGACTCCACTCTAATGAGATTTCTTTCCCTTGCCATCTTTTAAGGAGAGTGAGAATGTTATGAGACTTTCCACATGTTTGAGGGTGTGATGGACATAATGAAAACAACTTCTAGATTGATAAGAAAAAGCAGAAGTATTTGAAAAGATGGTTATCAAATTTGTGACTTTTCTGTCTCAGGTAGAAAAGCCAATCCCTCACCATATGCTGCATATTTTTTTTTTTTTTGGGGGGGGGGGGGGGGGGGGAGGGGGTAGCCCATTGAACACATGTTGGGTGACATTGGTGGGCTACTGTGAGCCAAAAAAATTTATTTTTTTAAAGACAAGAAAAAAAAAATGAAAGTGAGACAGGCAGCCTGGAGGAATGATGATGCTGCCCAAAATTCATCTTTGATAGGCTGGTACTTTTTTTTTTTTTTTAGCATGCTAAGGGGTATTGTAATGCAAAGAATAAAAAAAGAAAAAGCTGGGGAAAAAAGGGAAAAAGCTGGGATTTGAAACCTTTCTTGCTAAACGGCTGTATGTTACACAGAAAGTATTGCACATTGTAAAATGGAATTGTTATTTGAGTAACAGCTTTATCTGGAAACCTCCAGGAATTGATTTAGGTGATTGTGGATAGACGCCGATGATATGGTTCCATGACCTAACACTCAGTACCCCAGAAAACCCCAAAGCAAATTACAGTCAAACCTGTCCATAAAGGTCCCTAAAGATCACAGTAAAAAAGTGACTGTTATAGAAAAGCTGTCACTGTTGACAGGGCCTGAATTATGGACACTTACTAAACAAACTCAAACAGATGGTATAAAATTTGAAATCTTAATTCTAATTTCCATCAAAGTAGCAATCCATCATAAGAACTTTTTTGTATTGATTGAATGTACACACTAATAGGGTTCCCGCTTATTAAGGAGAAAACATTTCCTTTTCAATTTTAATGGATTTTGTAGCCATTTTCACAGTAATTAAATAAAGTAAAGATGACAGAGACTGGAAGAAGAAATGAAGAGAAATGAATTGTAGGAAATAATAAGGGTTGAATTAAATTGTGCTGACCAATCAACTAAATGATCACAAAATGGCCTCAACCATGAAGAAATTGTTGGTGGTAGGTAATTTTTAGTCACCCATTTTGACAGGGTTACTCACCCACAGTGTAAAACTGTCATACACCACTCTTTGCACACACCACTTTTTGACATGTAGTCAATGATAGCGACAGCACACACTTTGTGTCAAGAGATGAGCCCTCTACGATTACTAGCTTTGAAGATGAAAATATCTGCTCTGGCAATTCACAAAAATCATTTGCTTCATAATAAGATTTTGGATTTTGTACGTTGAATGATAATAATGGCTGCTAGTTAGCTGTTGACATCAAGTGTCCCTTTAACAGCCATCTTTTAGTAAGTACAGATTACACTTCAAGGTACATATTTATCTAGGAGCCATTTTTTTGTGGTAGAAAATTATGAAAAAAAATTAAAATTCTAAAAACTTACAAACGCTGAAAGCTGGTGGGACATAAAATGCTGCAACACACAGTCCACAGAGTACAAAGAACTTGAACAGCCAATACCTGAGAAATGGAAAGTTTTAACAAATCAAATACAGCTGTATTTTTTAATTTAACAAAATGCTCTTTGCTGGTCATGTGAGCACAAGGCATAATGATAATCACTTAATGCTGACAGGACTACTAGAAACTATTTTAATACAGGTGTCTGGTAATCGAAAAAAATGCATATCATAAGGACACTGTAGCTTTGCTTTTGCTGTGTAGGCTACATCAATCCATTAATATAAACCAGTGAGCCTTTTCATTAACAAATAACAATGGCAAAACTAAATTGAATGCATTGTGGCCTTGTTCAGTAATAAATAAAAAGCTTTTGGTAATACATTACTACTAAATCAGTACAATAATACATGTACATTGTATTTGTATTGCTTTGAATTTTATGAACCATACCCATTTTGCACACTAGCTCTCCAATGATCACTTGATGGCACAAATATAGTCAGCACCATGAGCAGAAAGTAAAATGTCACCACTGCTAGTCCTAGTCGGTAAACTGCTTTGTATCCTGTCAGTCGAGTGCAGTGTCCTCCAGGTTCAAACTTTACACACAGATCTGACATCTCATCAAACTGATGTCGAGAAAAAAAAGGTACAAATTAAAAGGGATACAAGAAAAAGTGGTGTCTGGAGAGGAAAATCATATAACAAAATTAATTTCTTTGCAAATTTGGGTGACAATAGATTCAATAAGCATGTGAAGGCCAAAATAGACTATAAAAAATCGCAGCAGCATAAACAATAATCTGCAAGTGTAATTCAAGTCACAGGCACTAAAAAAACATTTACAGACTCTGATTCGGGATACAACATGAAGGAATTCAACCCAAAGAAGACAGAGTTAACAAATGAATCCAATCCAACATAGTTTTCCTCTTGTTTTTTGGCCATGCCAAAAAGACAAACTTAAATAGTAAGCACCATTTGAACAAAACTATATTTGTAAATAGTAAAACAGTAAAACACTTTCACCCAGGAAGCCGGAATAACACCAATAAATTGAGAAAAACAATAATATTACATCATTAATTTAGAAGGAAATGCAGAAAATACCAGGTTGTATTGGACAGTTTATTAACATCCATGAAAACAAGAAAAAACGAAAAAACTTAGGGCTTTACAAAGTTTTGCACTTACATTATCCTGAACAAATTCCCGTAACTGAGGTACCAGCATTAAACACTGAAGTATAAAAGTAAAAGTCAGCAGCCCTGTATACATAACACGTGTGCCTGTTGACTCATTTATCGGAGGTAAAAAGCCGCAACACAAGGCGCATGATGCAGGACCACAGCAGCACGCCAACTGAGGACAAAACAGTAAAAAAGAAATTTAAGTCTCATTTATGATATCATACAATAATGTTAATAATATAATAATGACCAACAGCAAATATTTTGATAAATCATTTGCAAAACTTTTTAAAAAATGGTCAGCTTACAATCACAATTTGAGAAAGAGTAAGCATAATATGATGATGCTACATCCTTCCATGACACTGAAAAATACTTGAATGAAGGCTGCCACTGTTCAAAGAGCTTTGAAATGAAAGGGTAGAGATTTGATTTAATTTTTAGTCCATATATGGAAAGGTGAGCTTTCAAGGAGAATCTTCCTTGTCTGTGAAATATTTATTTTATTACCTTTAATTTTCAGTCAGCTTGTTCTGTCCAATTCTTATTCCTGCTGTACTATAAACATACCGTCCAGGGAAGGAAAAGTGCTTATGTGGGTGGGGAAAGTGATGAAGTGGGCAAGTGTCAATGGGCTAATCATGTCCCAAGGACAACATATTAAACTATGCGTGACTACGATTGGAGGAATCTTTTCTTGTTCCAACCAATGGCCTTGTCTTCCTAGTCGGAGACTATCCCAAAAGCTTTCATCCTTTAAATGCTGACATCGGTTGCTTATTTTATAAGGAATGAGAGTCATCTTATTCTTGGAGCTTTGTGAAAACGAAAATGTTCTCTTTTAGACTAATTTAATTTTCAAAGTAGATCACTTCTTTACTTCTGTTTCTAAAAAACTGGACAGTTCTCTACCTTACGCAGATAAGAACCTGTTAAAAGTGAAATTGCAGGGAAGAGAAAAAAACAAAAACATCAGCCTTAGACAGAGACGGCAGTAGGACAAATGAGCTTATCTAGTTGTCACATCTATTATAGAGGTGACAAGTCATCTTACTTCAAATCAAACAGAAATAGTGCGGATGAAAGTCAGCTGGATTAATCAGGAAAACTCTTAGACTCCTTTAGAACTCACATTCTTCAACCTCAAAACTGCTCAATATAAAAGAGTGATACTTGCAGCCAGCATACATCATATTACGCAAACCTGTGTAAGCTGCAGTCAAACCTGAGTAAGATGGCCACCCATTGTCAAGGAAAAAAAGTGGCCGTATAAGACAGGTGGCCGTCTTAAGCTGGACTGATCAAGATGAAGGGATTTTAAACCCTGTTCCCCTTGTTAAAGCATAGATTAATTTGGATAATGTTAGAGGCAAGAGATTGCCTGTAGATTTATATAGGATATTTTTTATTTATTTCGTCTATTAAATTTTTAATAAGAATTTTCGTCTGATTGCTTCTCTTTGGGTACAGAATGTTTGTAGTGTCAAAATGAATGCCTTCCTTTTTAAATTGATCTTTTAATGCATTTCGGTATTGTATGAACAGTTCACATTCCAAAAGTACATGATCAATTGATAGTGTTTTTTGGCACTGGTGGCAGATTTGATTTCTTTTGATGAAAAAATATGGTGAGTATAATCTGAGTCGGGTAATCAAGTTTTGGCCCTCTCCATGCGGTACTATAGTTTTTATGTTTGGTACTATCTTTTTAAAGAATGTGCCTGTCTTTGAATTTGTCCATGCAGTCTGAAAATGTTTTCTTTTACTCTTTGGTGTAAAAGATTTTTCATTTCGAGGGGTCCCAGTTTTTTATTTATATATTCTTTCTTTCGCATTCTTCCCTTGTTTGCAAGCTTGTCAGCCATCTCATTCCCATCTATTCCGCAATGTGATGGTGTCCAAATAATGGTAACCCTTTTTCCATTAGTTAATAATTGTTCATGTAATTCAATTATGTCCTCTAGAATGTCAAATCTAGCATGATTTCTGTGAGGTTCCCCAAGTGATTGGGCTGCCGAGAGAGAATCAGTGAGTATAAGAATATCCCTGTTCAATTCATCACTGCACGCCTGTTTCATTGCTCTCTGTATCGCTATCAGTTCAGCAGTAAGAATAGAAGTATAATCTGTTATTCGTGAATAAGACCGGATATTTTGTGTTTTAACATAGAATCCTGATCCATCAGTGAAATACTGGATATGATTACTATATAAGTCATGAATATGTTTTAATGTAATATTTTTCATTGATGCGTATTTGTCTTCTCTCTTTTTTATTTTGTTCTTTAGTGTTAGGTCCACATTAATGTCACAATATTTCCATAAGGGTAATTCTTGTTTCAGAGTGGCGGACATTTTTTTTTTTTACTTTCAAAATTCCCAAAATTGCTTGTGTGCTTTCTACAATGCCGTTTTTAGGTTTAAGATGTTTGTTTGCGATCTTGATTATTCTGTCTCTGTAGACATTCCTAGCATTGTTTTCTTTATTATAATTTACTCTATGCCATAGTTTGACCTTGCTTTCCTGCCTTCTTATCCAAAGAGGGGGGATTTTGGTCACGACTGATAAAGCCATGCTGCTTGCAGCGCGTGTAGAATTGGTGATTATTCTCAATGCTGAATTTTGAATGGTGTCCAGTTTCTTTAGTTGACCCTTTGCTCCCTGGTCGTATATTTCCTCTCCATAGGCAAGTCTTGGTAGTATCAGATTTTTGTATATTAATGTTTTTATTTTTGAATTTATCCCCCAGGTTTTTCCTGCTGTGCATTTCAAAATATTAATGGTGTTGATTCCTTTCTCATATTTTTCAGCTATATGCTCCTTGAACTGGAGGAATTTCTCAAACGTAACTCCTAGGTATTTTACTGATTTTGTAGTATGGACATTTTTTCCATTTATCTGCCGATCTGGGCACAGTTTTTGGTTAAAGAAGATTGCTTGGGTTTTGTTAATATTTACTTTAAATCCAAGATTTGTAAGAGTCTCGACGAGGACATTTGTTGGATTTTCAATAGTTTTTAAAAATGAAAGTGGTATTCTTTTTTGCTCTCTTTCCGGGGGCATGTTTTGCTTTAATCCACAAGGCAGTGTCATCAGCAAAATGTCCTATGCTTATCCTGGGATATTTATCTTCTATTGCTCCTACCGAATTTATCAATATATTAAAAAGTGTGGGAGAGATTACTGCCCCCTGGGGTGTTCCGTTTTCCTGACTTTTAATTTCAGATAATACGCCTCCAACTTTTACCTGAAACGTCCTTTCATAAAGAAAGTCCTTAATATAATTATACATATTGCCATTTATCTCCATTTTCATAAGTTGTTCAAGGGTTCCTTGTTTCCATAGTAGATCGTAAGCCTTCTCCAGATCCAAGAAAACTGCCTGTGCATAGGTTTTTGTTGTTCCTGTCTGACCCTCGTATGTTTTTATTAATTTTTGTTTTCTTCCCAAAGCTGCTTGTTTGGTTTTGCATTTTGGATCAGTTGGCCTGTGTGGTCCCTGGCAGTTAATGCATTAGACATTTTCCTTGCATTCTGCCGCTATATGGTTTTTCCCTCCACATCTAATGCAAATTTTTGTATTTTCTTTGCAATGGGTTAACGTGTGTCCCATCTTTAGACATTTTAGGCACGGTGGCAGTGCTTTTACGTACGGGTGAACCGTTCTTAGCCTAAACGGGGTTTTGATAACATCAGGCAATACGTTATCCTCGATTTTTACTGAAAAAATTGACGTCTTTCCAAGTCTTTTTGATTCAAGAATATTTTCATTTAGGTTTTTTAAACAGTTTTTTATTTCATTTTCGTTTTCATTCGGAGGGATTCCTTTTATTACTCCGTGTAGGGGTTTCAATATTCCCTCTATTCTCCATTGGGTGTTTCCCATTTCTGGTGCGTATGGTTCCTTTTTGAGCTTTGTGAAGGTATTCAGGCTAATGTCTGACGCTGGAACGTCGCATGGCCTAATCTATGGTTTATTCTTACCGTCTTCACGTCTGCAGAGGTGATAACTCTGCATTCGTGAAGACGGTTGATGATGCCAGGTTTTCCGATTTTGGTAGGATGTACCTGGCATCCTTCGATAAGTGTTATCTTAACGATAACCCTATTCATTGTAATATTCTCCCCGGCGGTGTGTGGCAAGGAAACAAAGGTTCAAACATCCAGATTAATAAACAAAACAAAACAAAATTATATTTTAAAAAAAAATTTAAAAAATGAACAATCAAAAATAATAATAATAAAATTAAAGTAATTAGAAAATCAAAACAAAACAAAATTCAAAGACAAACCAGCTCAATCTAGGCTAAACACGATCAAGGTAGAAAAACATTTTAAAAAATAAATAAAAAAATTAAAAAAACACACTAAAATTGAAAAAAATAAAACAGGAACTTCCGATATTTACCACAACAATGCACTCAAGCGCAAGTCCATTCAAAAGTTATACTAAGAAGACGCGTCATTTCTAAATTTTATAGACAAAAAACAAAAACAAAAAGAACAAACAAATAAAACAAACCCTTCAACAAAAAAGGAGTATCACAAAACACAAGGAATGTATTTGATAAAAGGTGAATGAGTACTAGGGAAGATAGAAAAAATATTGAAAAAACAAAAAGAATAAAAAATAATCTAATTCGACCCCCAGAAAATCAGTCCCTTATGATCCACCCTCCACTGCTGTTGCTCTAGCCTATTTAGCCTATGTATCTCAATCGGTGAAGGTCATTCTAATCAAACAAAGGGGAGTATCCTATCCTAAGAAGTACAATAAGTGAGACTAAAATGATGAAAACACAAAAAAGTAAACATGATAACCAAAACAAAATTATTGGAACTTACCTCATTGATATTATGAATAAACCACACACATACAAATCATATAGAGGACAAAAACCAAGCTTTTAAACCTTTTTTACTTCAGAGAACAAACACCCACATCACTTATCAATTCTGTTGAACAGAAAGTCTCATAGCGCTTCTAATAAATGTTTATTTGTCAAGAGGTCACCAGAAACAATTAAAGATGGCTCATTAGCGTGTGTTGGGGTCGGATGGGCGGCCTGCACAGGTGTGGCTGTGTGTGCTTGTCGGGGAGGGGGGTGGCACTATCGGTCCGGGCTTTGAACGTCGCATACGTGTCAGTCTTTTTTCCCCCGGCAACTGATCATTATTACAATAATAAGCTAGTCTTGACGTAGATCTACGTAATGAATTGTGCGCTTGTCTATGGAATCAAAAGTTGCCGTATGCTCGGCTCTACACAGCAACACAACTTTTTCTTGGTAAACAATCAAGATGACACAGGCTTGTGTATTTGAACGAATCAGTCTTTTTTTTTTTACACAGCTCATAATATGCAGGTGCCAGGTGGTCTGCTAATCTTCAATTTTACCTTTTTCTACAACAAAGAAAGTGGGAAACATGGGTGGCGGGGCGTATCAATGAGGCGGCGGGCATCGGATCGGCAGATGTGTGGAGGAAACTAAAAAATGGCGAAAAATTGGAAGCACTGAACGTTAGATCTATAGAACGAAGACACTTCCTTTTTTCCGGACCCGAGTCCGAATAACATTTTTTCATATTCGGACGTAAGTCCGAATAAAGACGGGGCTGGATTGTACTTTACCGGACCACCCGTCTCGGTCCGTGATTACTACGCACACCTAGCCTAACTACGCTCTCATAGTCATAGTACTCTGCGTGCGGACAAAAGGTAGTTCCGCGGGCGACTTCGCGCACGCACAGCGCAAGCCAGCGGCAACTGGCGAGGCGAGGTGCGCGAGAGTTGGTGGTTGAGAGTGGGCAGGGGATTTAACTTTGGTGGACCATGGTGTATCATACCAACAGTGGGGAGGGGGAGGGGGTGTTCAGGGGGGGCTTGCCCCCCTGGAAACTATAATAAAGAAAACACACAAAAATGCGAAACAATAACATGAGCGGACAGTCGTGTTCACATATATGTATGTAACAACAGTGGGGGGGAGGGGGGGTTTCAGGGGTGCAACAATAATTTAAAGACACTCACACACACATATTATAAACAATAACATGAGCGGACAATCGGGGTAGATACTCGCCAAGTCGCGAGCAGGGCCGAGGGGGTTGCAATTATGCAAATGAGCTCTCGTGTGCATCTTTAGCCCTCCATTGTACTTTGCCGGACCAGGAGTAGGCCTAGGCCAGGCCAGCAGTAGTTGCGAGCAAATTTAAAGAATAGTGGACCACGTGATTAGATTGACCAATTAGCCTCAAGATGTCAGGGTCATGGGTCAAAGGGCACGGTGGCACGGTCGTGATGACTGAAAAACCCGGTAAGAGACGTCAGTCGATTGCTGGCAGTTGAAGAGTGTGGTCGTAGAAAACTGAGTAGGAGAGTGAGTAGGGGAGCTCGGAAACGAAGAATAGCGGGCCACTAGGCACCAGGGGCGCCATAGCGAAAGTAGTTCCGACCGGTGGTCCGGTAAAGTACAATCTTACCAAAGACGGCCTTTTTTTTTACAAGAAGGATTTTAGTTTTTACTGGGTGACTAAATGCAAAAGAAGTTACTGCCAAGGTCGAGCAGGGTAGAGCAGTCTTGTTTTCTCGCAGTACTTTTTGATGGCAGTCCTCACAGAATGGCAGAATGAAAGGATGACACCTAAATCTCGCAACTATCCCCAAAAATCTCGAGATCAGAAACCTTTCAGAGAAATAGAGTTCATTTTATTTTCCCTAACTAAAGTGAGGAGAAATAGTCACTTCGATCCTAAAAATCCTAAATTTCCCTTGCCAAGACGGAATTTTTTCCTTTCTCCCTTGTGATTCCATCTTACACAAGTTCGACTGTGTTCTCACTTTAAAAATTATTTATTAGTAAACTGAGGAGTGAGTGACTCTTAGACTTAGAGACTGACTCATCAGTCAGGTACTGATATGTCACTGATGAGTGAATGGATAAAGGGGAGGACTTCCATTTCATTTATAACGAGCGACCACTGCCACTATGATGAGACAGAGCAGAATTGAGGGCTTGGGGTAGGGGTAGGGGTAGGGGTAGGGGTAAGGGTAAGGGTAGGGTTAGGGTTAGGGGTAGGGGTAGGGGTAGGGTTAGGGTTAGGTCTAGGCCTCTTCTTTATTGAATTGTGTTTGATGGGGTGGTCGCTCGTTACGGATAGGCCTCTACTCTAGATCTAGATTTAGATCTAAAATCTACCTGAGATGTGCAGCAACCCATGACTGAAGAGTGAAATTGGCTTCAAATGACACCTCAGCGACCTAGCGTCTCCAGTCGAAGTAAAAGCAGAAGTTAAAAACACAGGGAATGTGGTAAACAGATAGCTAAGAATGCATCTTGCCCATTGTCAGCTGGGTTGTCGTTTGAACTCAAATATCAACAATAAGTTTAAAGCTTTGTTTAGATTCTATTTATAAAACACGGAAGCGATAAATACTTCCGGGTTATCACGGTGTAAGGACAAGTTGTGCCATGGTTTTAAACTTCTCTAATTTTACTATTTTTTTTGTATTTCTCCCAAAAATCACATAATTACTCAATACACACATATTTTCATTACAGTTCATGACGAATGCATGCCCAATATAGTAACAAACATGTTGTCTGCACTTCAAACTATTCATGGCATAGCAATGTTAATTCTACACCGGTCGTGTGCCACCTGACCTTTTTCAATTACCTTTTCACATTGATGCTTAGGTCGCTAATATTAGTGGATTGGGGAACGCTAGCATGCTGCCAAAGCAGGCAATAGACTCGGCTTTTATCCAGGAAGCAGGCACTGTCACTTGGTTATTTTAAAGTGGAACGAGGATCCGTTCCCCATATACCGATTCAAACAAATGATGTCCTCATCTTGGAAGTGGAGAGAAAATAAAAGTTTATCTCACACTTATAATTAATATGTCCACTCCGATTCAGCTATATAGCACGTAGAGACTGTTAATCCAAACAAGTTAGTCTATTCCAATTATTCCTCTCCCTTCATTCCAGAATCCCAGACTGTCTTTCAACCCATTTCTCCTTCATTAGAAAAAGATCTTTTGCTATTAGTTATGACATATTGAGTTGATAGACTTCGGCTGGCCTAATGCAACACGAAACTATGCACTTTACATTATTGGGAAGTCGACTGTGTCGTTTTAAACACGTGGAGGGAAAGTGTAAGAATGTTCATTCTTTTCCTCGCTGACATACCCCAACTGCGTTACATTAACCACACTATACTTCATGTATTGGCCTGGAGGAGGGGATGGGGGGACTTTTGGATCGCAGGCTTTCCAAATGTAGGTTGTATAAATTAAGCAGCTTAAAAATGTTTGACTGTATTTCAAAACAAGTAATTAAGCATATTTTTTCCTACCATGGGGGTCTTCGGCATACAAATCATAGACAATAATGGTAATGATGATGATAATACAGAGTGGTTAATAGTTTGTCCATCAATACATCAAACATCTTTAGTCCCTGAAACGTATTAGCTATGCTTTTAACTTTTCCCATCTTGATCAATTCCACGAGCTGTAAGAATAAAAGATAGATCTACATTTCAAATCATTATGATATTTTTGTTGTTATTCTGCTTCAGAACTTGTTCTCAACTGATACAGTTCACGTGGACAGTGGAAAATAATAAAGTGTACTCCTTTTGTGACTGGCACCGATAAAACTATTTCCGAGTGCACGAATAATTACTAGAGTTCCTCCCCTTAATCTATCGCATCTAGGTAATGTGTCAGCTCGTTGTCTTTTCAAGATGAAAACAAATATGGCGGCCATCATCACAACCTGTAGTTCTTGGCTGGTTCAAGGAGGACCACCATTCTCTGTAGTGTAACAGGTTCAAGCCCATGCGTCTGAATATGTTTGCCGAAGAGAGAGATGAGAGGAGATCTGACCGGCAACGAGAGGGGAATTCCTACAGTTCTTTACGCAATCGCATTCGTATGTCCCAACAAACTATATACTGCCACTTTTTTTTAATTACTGCTATGCAATTCATTCAGTCATTCAGTTCAGCAGTGTCATTTTCTGCATCACTGCTCTGCTGTCTCTGTAGTAGTTAGTCTGTACTGAACTGGGTTAGATCTAGATCAGATCTAGGGCTTTTTAAAACTGTAGCAGACCACCACTAGGCACTGGTTAAGATTTACGTCCCCCTGCCATGTTGGTTTGTTTAGATCTAGGGGAGGACTTCCGTAAGGAGCGACCACTATCACTATGACTATGACTATGAGACAGAGCAGGATTGAGGGGTAGGGGTAGGGTTAGGGTTAGGTTTATTGTGTTTGATAGGGTTGTCTTCTTTCTTGGTCTTGGTATGACAGGTGGTTAGAGTTTTCATTTTGGCCACCTCTGGTGAGAATATTATAGATCTAGATCTAGATCTTGTGCTGGCGAGCGTTTTGGCTATTCTCACTCGGTGTACGTTCACCGTGATAGGCCGACCAGTGTAGCGTTCACCGTGAACAAACGTTCAAGCGCTCTTGTGTTGAAAGCGTGCAATTTTGTCTGTGGGCAGTGAGAAAGAAAGAGATGGGGGGGGGGGGGGGGGGGGGGGGTGTGAGAGAGAGAGACAGGCGACTAAACGTAGAACGATGCAAACTATTTTTAGGTACGGCGGCCATCTTGTGCGACGTCACTCCGGGATACCTCTCCGATCATGTTTCTACATTATCTAAACATAGCCATATATATGAGCTATTGCCAAAACGTGAGACTCTTTTGAGACTCAGTGGTGCAAAAAATTTTTCTTACCAATTTGCCTCCCTTTTCTGTCAGTATAGATTGACATTTAGTGCTCATATTCCTAGAGTATCAGAGCAAGGAGATGAAGGGTTTTGGATTCAGGGCGCCGTGAACGTAGTCACTACGAATTTTGATCCAGTTAGTAATTATAAGAAGTATCAACATTTCCTCTTTAATTGGGTCCTTAAAACCGCTCTTTGGGTGCATGCACAGGATCACTAAAATGAATGACTTGCCTTTGCTTACAAACTGCTCATTTTTGAGACAGCGACACCACACTGCCGCCTCATTTCAGTGTAAGCTTGTTGATTTCCTCCCCCCGGCTGTCTAGACATCTCCACGTGAGTCTCGAAAATTACTCACTCCGTCTCTTGAATCGCATTTCTTGGTCGTACTTTAGAGTGTGGTGTTGAGGAAAATATGTCAACTTTAAAATGTTTTAAGTATTTGCTGTAAATCCCCTTTTATGTTTTTACCCGCTCTAGGCTTACATAAAAGAAAACGTGTCGGAACCACAGTTTGCTGTGACTTTTAATATATATATAATATATCTATATATATATAATATATATATATATATCTATATGAGCAATTGCCAAAACGTGAGACTCTCTTGAGACTCAGTGGTGCAAAAAAAATTTTCTTACCAATTTGACTCTCTTTTCTGTCAGTCACAGATTGACATTTAGTGCTCATATTCCTAGAGTATCAGAGCATGGAGATGTACGGTTTTGGAGATATGGATCTATTGGTTTGGCAACTACTGTATTTCTTGTATGTAACAGTGATGACAAAAACAGATAAGCAGCAAGGCAAATTATAGACTTTAAATTCCATTTGTTTAGTAAACAAACACTTTGTACACTATTAACTCCATTCATAATGGTAATATGAATGACAAGCTTTGTAACAATGACGCAGTGCACAGAACATGTCATCATTGTTATGTACAAGAAAGGATACACATTGGACATTATCAATGACAACACATCACAATAGTGAAAGGCTGTACAAATACAGTTATCAAAGCCTCAGTACCAGAAAAACACATGTGTAAAACAATTTTTTAACTAATATGAGGCAAAAGCACAAAATCAATGGAGCTGACTTGTACATAACAGTGATGACAAACATGACTTGTACATAACAATGATGACACAATGTACAGGAAAAGACAAAAGTCTTGCCTCCAGAGATAAAAGCGCACTTTAAGAATTAAAAAAACCCCAGGAGAGGTTTCTTTTGCTTTGAAACAGATACCAGGTCATATCAAAGACAGTGGACGATCACAATTATGTGGCTAATTATGACAAACAGTACTCGTACATAACAGTGATGACAAAACATACTGGGAAAAGGTAAAATCATGCCTACAAAGAACATATTTGCACTAAGAGATACACAGATCAATAAAGGCGTATTTTGCTTCTAAATGAATCTTGCATGTTTGAAATATATGTTGAAAACTTATTGATATTAGCAATTATGAAAAATATTACTTGTACATAACAATGATGACACAATGACACAATGTATTGGAAAAAGGTATATCATACCAACAAAGAACAAATGTGTATTTTTGAGTTAGACAGATAAACAAGGACATGTTTGTTTATTTGTTTGAGTATAGAGAGCACACATTACTTTAAAAATGTTTGCTCTTAGGACAATGTAATTTCTTGTACGTTAGTCAGTCTTGTACGGCTGCATGACGACACCCCAAACGTCATCACTGAGCACAAAAGCTAAATCTATAACCATAGAAATGATCCATCTCTCGAAGTTTGTTCACACATCACACTCTTGTTCCAGGAATCCAGTGTAAACACCGCAATTTCACTAAAATATTCAACAGAGTAGCCTAAAAACACGCAAAACAGCCCAGTACGTCACATTCAACGCAAAATACTTGTGCGTCACCGGACGCTGAAGGCAATGACTACTTTCGTTTTTCTGTTTCCCCCGTTGCTTCCGTTGTTCTGGGGACGCGGGAAAGGGGAAGTCACTCAAGAAAACCATTATATCCGGGCACTTTTGATGACCCGTTCAAAACAAAAGTGGGCGAAATTCGGACTTCCGGCACGTCGCAAATTGACGACAATAACGGCGAATGTTAAACAGCCGACCGAAATCGTAGATATAGGAACCCGATGTTCCTTTCGCGCATCGCGGCTTTTGAAGTATTGAATAAACGACGATAGGCAAAGAGATTTAACCTGCTACGGTGATTCTACTGAAAAATAATGGTGTTTTCTGAAACACCTAGTCCGTGACGACACGACAGACGCACAAGTAATCCGAATTGTTCGTCTATTTGCAAACAAATAAACCGATTTCCTAAGCAAGTTAACCTTTATCAATGACAAATAACATAGGATCAAAGCACAGGTAAAAAAAACACACCCAAAAATACTAAATTTTGGACATTCTTGGAAGTTTGCATTGGTGTGCTCAAAATGACACTCCAGGAATCACTAAAAAACCAACATTTTTGGCACAAAATTTACAAACTCAAGATTGTAAAGCTGACAAGGGGTCTGAAACTGCTAATGCAGGTTCTACATCCTATATTTGACGTGTGTATACGTTTTGGAGGAATAAATACTAATGCATCACATTTTATGCACACTAATGTGAGATGTGTGTGTTTTTCCCCACGTTTTGGCAATGGCTCATATTGATAAAATAATAAATAAGTAGGCCCAGGGCAATAGGGTTATGGTAAAGAGGAAGGGGTAGGATTGTAGAATGAGTAGATTTGCAGGATTGTAGGCTAGCCTAGCTAGGCCTATACTATACATGAACTATGGTATTATTAACTTATTATTAATAGTAGACCTTTGTGAAACCGTAGAATATTTTAAAAACTATTAATTTGCGATGGATATAAAGTAAATATTTGTGTAAAAGACAGAAAAAAATTAACAAAAAAAGGTCTCTACGTATGAGCAAGAGACGGTAGAGAAAGTAAAATAAAACCCAGTAAACTACTACCACAGTAGTCAAACCTGAGTGGTCACCTCTTGAAAGCAGTCACCTGTACTTTTGTACTAGCTGGCTAATGTTCTGTGATACCCTAACGTTTTTTTCTTATATTGTTGACCTGTCCGTAGCTGTCCCTGTCTAATCCTCCACTCGAAACCTGCTCATTGTGGTCACTAGGCACAACAATTTTCTTCCAACCTGTCCTCAGACTGAGTTTATTCGTTCGATGAAAGACAATGCAAAGTAGCTCTCAAATTATAACGATTTTGGTGGAATTAAAATGAAAAGACCAGAATAAGATTTCAGATTTAAAAACCATCTGTGTTGACTGTTGACCGTGTTAAGTCTCATAAAAACATGTGCAGGAAGTTTTCTTTTTGTTTATTAATTGTATATATCTGGATTTAGTATAGTTATTTTGTTATATATTAATGCACGTGATATTCTTCTTTAACAGCTTACAGACTACTTGGGAGGAGGTCCCTTGGAGCAAAGAGGTTAGTTGTCTCCAGCAAAGTACTGTTGCCGGCCATCCCCACAGAGAACTGTGACGTGGTCCTCACATTTCCAGCAAACACTGAAGATGCTACTCTCATGTGGCTGCTTGCTCGTTTCAAGTCTCGAGCTCCAGCCATTACAGTCCATGTCCGACACCATAGCCATACGGGAATTTATGGCTTCTATCTTACAGCTCCATATGACAAGTAAGAAGAGTTCTCGTGGGTGGTCTTTTTTGTATACACTGGTAAATAAATAGTTATCCACTTCAAAACGTGGCATGAGACTTTTATGTCATTTACTGAGTTCTCTTGGGAGAATTCAAAATTTTGATTAAATGAAGTTCTAGCTGAGGTGTAGGACAGTACCTTCACTGCATAGTATTTTAAATTATATTGTATGGATGAAATGGCATCTGGACTGTGGTGCTGTTGTTTTGCGTTTCGTTCTTTCAACTATAATTACATTACAAGTGCCAATCTTGAATTCAGAAATAAAATAATTTTATTTATTGTGTTCATCTGTCTCGTAATTGTTTGATGAAGTAACTCTTGATGTATTTTTGTTTGTTTTTTAAAGCCTCTTACAGGGAGCTGAAGAAATTGGTCTCCTTAAGCCGCTGAAGTCAGAGTATGGTGGAGGAATGAAAGAATTCATTTACGAAGACCACGACTGTTTTGCTGGTATTGAGGATGAGGGCACATTCCTCACTAGTCAGGAGCGCCAGAGCATTGTCCTCCACTTTTTGCATGAGTTGAGAGCTACGGGTGATGATTCGCTCGCCGGGATCAACTTTGTTGAGGGCCAGGCAATAGGTAAATGAGAGCAGTCCTGAGTGAGCTTTCTCTTGGATTGACTGCTTTTGATACTTTTTTTATAAACACTGATTAGCATAATGCTATATAATATTCTGTTTGCTAGATTAAAAGCCTGTTGTTGTTGTTGTTTTTTTTTTCTAGTAACATTAAACTTTAAGACCTTTCCAAAGTGGTAAAATTGTTTCAAACTTGTCTAAGAAAAAAGTTTTGACAGGATTGATGGAGTCATTCTTGTTGTACAGCTTTCAGGAAGTTCATGATACAATTTCGAACATGGTTCCCATTGTTTCTGTTTAGAAATGAAGGTATATTACATGTATTTGACCTGTGACACAGACCATTATCAGAGAGGAATAATGTGTCCACATCATAGCTTTTAATATCCTTTTCCTTCACTGTAACTTGAAATGGTTCCCTTTGCTTTGCAGTACCATTGCTGATCACAAAGAAGGTTGTGTGGCAAGTCTTTCCCTTACACAGCAACCAAGATCTCAAGGAGCTGAGAAAGAACTGGGTCCAAGCCATATTTTCGACTCAACCTCTCGGTAAGTTGCATGAATGCCTTCTAATTGAGATGTGGAGAGTGTTCTGTGTGGACAGGGATTAATTTTTTTCTGAAAGAGATTGAGAATAATGAAATTTTTCTCAATATTTGTCAGCCATTGAATTTATGTTGAATAACTCACCCTGGCAAGGTTTAACCTGTTACTTCAGAATATTGATCTGTCTGTCTATGCCTGACTCTTTTACAAATGTTTATCTTTTTCCACATTCACAGATACTTGTCTTGCAGATTCCACATCATAAAGGTTCAAGTTTTCCATACGTATTGTGTGAGAATTGACTTTTATGCACAGAATGATACGTGTCTTGTTGCTTTCAAAGGAGAGTGACAAAACTTCTTAGCGTTTCAGTTAATTTTTCTCTTTTGTAATTCACCATGTATTATGTTGAAGTCTCCTCCTGATCTATATTTCCTTAAAGAAAAGAAAACCAGAGCTTCCCTTGTGTCGTTTGTGTGACTACACTTTTGAGACTGTGGATCATTACCTGTTCCACTGCACATCCCGAAAAGACATCAGAGCTACACTTCCACCTCCGAGACTTAACGTTGATGCTGCAATAAGACTGGAAAAGCCAGCCTTGCTGTATTGTGTACCCTGGAAAAGAGGTGGCAAACCTTGTGAAACGGATCCCATGAGTCAGAATGTTGGGTTTTGTTCTCTGACCTTCCTGCTCCTCGAAGTTCAAAATGCAGCAATGTGTTGCATGTAGCACAAATAATTAACATAGGAACGATTCTGGCTGTTTTATCATATTACATTCTTGAAATTTCCACGTTTTCATTTTTTTCTACATGTACAGATTTGGATCAGGTTAGATGCTTCACTTTCGCATGGTGGAGAAACGAGTTTGTTCCTGAGTGGGGAGAAAGTTTTATCGAGTATCTTTGTCTTTTTGCTGGGATGTTGTATCCCTCTCAGCTTGAGTTGGCCCTGACATGCTTAATTGGAAGCCTGCCTCTTAAATGATTTGAATTGTATCGATTATGGCATAAAAACATCTATATTTATGAAAATCTTTTTTTTCTTCAGATTTGGTTTGCCGGTACTTTGGGGTGAAAATTGGCCTCTACTTTGCATACCTGGGTCACTATACAACATGGCTTTTACTACCAACCTTGATTGGAATCCTCATCTTTTTGTTCCAAGGGTCCAGCCAGGTGGGTAGATAACTTACAGTCTGACAAATTATGATATGTAGCCTTTTCTTGGTCAGTAGGGAATGATTTAGCCTTGCATTCTACATACGTTATCATCACTGGCTCTCTGGATTGTTGTGTATTTCTATACATGGAAATGTTTTGACTGTTTGTGTTGGAACTGTTGTTGGATTTTTATTAGAACTAAATTACAAAATTATGAAACGGGATCTCCCCTTGTCTAGTGAGATTACATGAATGGTTTAATTAAACTTAAACGTGTGAGTGCCTGAAAATACTGGGCACGTGTCACTGATTGTTGAATCGAGCAAAAGTTGAAAAATCATTTGAAATAGTTTTTAAGATAATTGTTTTCTTTTTTTGATTACAGGTGATTTTTACTGATTCTTTAGATATAATAAAAAGAACCCCCCAAAACAACTTTAATATAGGCTGAACAGTACTAAATGCACTTCTAAATAATTTTTTAGTAATGTGGGTAACCTCACAAAAGTCAAATTCAAGCGTAAATCTAGAAGAAGATGGTAATTTCTGTCTCTTTTCTTCCTCATCAACAAGAGAGTAGTACCCTCATACTATTGGCTGTTTAGAGAAAGCTGTTTCTCTATTTTTGTAATATGATGATTTTCAGGCGTTTGTAGCAGACAGAAGGGAGGCTAAACTTGACTTTACACAACGTTTCCGTTTGCAAAAGCGTACTTTTGAAGACTGGAGACATGTGTCACTAATTCAGTCAGTTCATCACTATTGTGTCTTGTGGTTAGCTGTGTGATTCTCGGGAAAGTAGTCGAGTACGGTTGACATTGAAGAAACCAAGGACAGGCCGAGGCGTGAGCCACGGACTTTTGAAGACTGCGTGAGTAGCGGTCGAGGCGCAGCGCAGAGAGTTGCGACGAGTCAGTGCAAGTTGGATCGCTACATGAGGTGGGTGTGTGTAGTAAAACCGTATGCATGTATAGTTAAACTACAAGCTATTTCGGCGAGGTGCTCATTCTAGAGCCAGATATTAAGTGCTAGTGATGGCATCGAAAATAACGACGGACATGATCAAGCCTTTCAGTGGCAATAGCGATGTTGTGGCATGGTTGGCTAAGGTTAAACTCGTCGCTGGTTTGAAGAACATTCAGGATCTTGCGAAATTTGTACCGTTGTTCCTGGAGGGTGATGCATTGGCGTTGTACTTACAGCTTAGTGAGCTGGAAAGATCACAATATGAGACAATTGAGAAGCGTCTTCTAGAGGCATTCACAGACAGCTCATTTGTTGCGTTCAGTAAGTTGACACAGAGGAGGTGGGACGGTGAGCATGTTAATGTATTCGCGAACGAACTAAGGAGATTGGGAGGATTGGCTGGATTTTCAGGCAGCGAACTGGATAGGCTGGTTAGATTGTCCTTTGTAAATGGATTCCCTGACCCGATATCGTGTGAGCTCCAACAGATGAGCCGGGTCTTCGAAGTTGAACTGTCAGAGGTCATAGCAAGAGCTAGAATCCTTACAGCAAGTAAGACTGGAATGGTCAGCGTTGCGGCGGCAGGCGGAGCCATGGCAAACGAAATGGGAAGCCACAGTCAACGTGTGAGGGCATTTAAAGGTTCTTGTTATCGATGTGGTGGACCACATATGGCTAAGTTTTGTAGTCATCGTGCTGACATTGTTTGCTACCACTGCAATGAAGTTGGGCACATAGCCAGTCGATGCAGTCAGAGGGGAAACGGTGCCTATCAGAAGAAACAGGAAAACTAGCTTCGGGTGGCTGCTGCGCCGGCAGCTACCCGTTTGAAATGAGGGCGCAGTCTTTACCGATAATTCAAGTTGGCGTGAAGGGAGCTAAGGTCAAAGCATTGGTAGATACAGGTTGTATGGTCACAGTGGTCAGTTCACAGATAGTTGGAAATTGCGTGGGCGAGAACTATATGGTAGCTTTTGATGGTTCACGAGTGCAGTGTCAGGGGAAGAAAGAGCTAATCATTGACGTGCGAGGTGTCTCGGTCTCCGTAAATGCAATTGTCTCAGATTCTATTCTGTCTGATATTGATGTGGTACTGGGAATGGATGCTATAAACAACTTGGGAGGAGTTTCAGTCAACCATGGTACAGTTGAGTTTGGTGTCAAATGGTGTGGGGCAGCGGAAATGGAAACTGAATCTGATCCCCCAGACAAGGCAAAGGGGAACGTGAAGCGAGCAGAGAGCGCTGTTTACGAACACAGGGAGGTTGAGGTTATTGACGACAGTGATTTTAAGGCAGTTTTTGATGGCAATACATGGACAGTAGAGTGGAAATGGAAAAGGGATCCTCCCCACCTGAAGAATAAGATTGGATGTTATGGTAAACAGATGGATATGAAGACTACAGAAGGGTTTGAGAAAGAGATACAAAGTTGGATAGAGGAAGGAATACTTTTACCATGGAATGAGAAAGTAGAAATAGGCATAATTCCGCTGATGGCTGTTGTTCAACCTACCAAGAACAAGGTAAGACCTGTCCTTGACTACAGAGAGCTCAATAAATATATAAGTAGTCACACGGGGGGTGACTTCACGGATGTATGCGGCGAGACATTGCGAGAGTGGAGACAGACGACAGATGCAGCAACGATTGTCGACCTGAAAGGTGCTTACCTTCAAATTCGGGTGTCACAAGATCTATGGAAATATCAACTAGTGAATTTCAAAGGTAAAACATATTGCCTGACAAGACTTGGATTCGGTCTTACATCGGCACCCCGCATCATGACGAAGATCTTGAAAACGGTATTGAATAAGGATGAGAAGATAGACTCTGCCACGCAGTCCTACATTGATGACATTCTACTGGATGAGAGCAAGGTAACATCTGCTGCACTGGTGAAGCACCTGGCCAACTATGGGTTGACAACGAAAGAACCAGAGCCATTGGATGGTGGCGCCGCATTAGGTTTGAAGTTGAAATCTGATTCCACAGGAGATCTCATATTTTCCAGAGCCAACAGGATTCCCCATGCAGTGTCTAAAGTCACCAAACGGGAGTTGTTCTCGATCTGCGGAAAACTTACAGGTCATTATCCGGTTGCTGGATGGTTAAGGATAGCATGCAGCTACATAAAGAGAAGGGCAAATGGTACCAATTGGGAGGAGATTGTAAACGATGAAGTGGAGAAAATGTTGAAGGAAATGTTGAGCCGTTTGACTAATGAGGATCCCGTCAAAGGCAAATGGTACGTGCCTAAAGCAACCAAAGGAACCGTATGGTGTGATGCTAGCAGTATCGGATATGGTGTGTTACTTGAGGTCAATGGCAACGCGGTAGAGGATGCTGCATGGCTTCGGAAACCTTCAGATTTTGATCATATCAACGTAGCAGAGCTGGAGGCTGTGATGAAAGGTGTAAACATGGCCATCAAGTGGAACATCTCTGAAATCGAAGTTATCACTGACTCAGCAACGGTGGCTGGTTGGATCAAAACTGTTCTATCGGAAGAGAGGAGAGTGCACACCAAAGGGGCAGCGGAGTTGATTGTGAAGAGACGATTAGGGATATTGAAAAGCCTTATTAATGAGTTTGGTCTGGTTTTGTCGGTCACCTTGGTTCCGACCAGAAAGAACAAAGCAGACATTCTGACAAGAGTGAAAAAGGAGTGGTTAAGCACTGGCGGGTATGGAATGGAGGAAGGAGAACCAGAACCATGCGTTTGTGCTACTGGCCATCTTGACTTGAAAGACTTGCACGATATGCACCATATGGGGGTAGACCGTACTTTGTATTTGGCTCGGAAGGTGCTACCAGAAACGAGCCGTGCTGATGTTAAAAAAGTCGTACAAGCTTGTGAGCAATGTCAGTCTATCGATCCTGCACCAGTTGTCCATGAGGCGGGCAACCTAGATGTCGCTACAGACTGGACAAGATTGGCAATAGACATAACTCACCATCATCAAGTGCCATACCTGTCAATTGTTGATTGTGGCCCAGGGCGATTCGCAATTTGGAAGAAACTGAGGAGAGAGACAGCAGGGTTTGTGACAGAAGTAGTTGAAGAACTCATGTTAGAGAGAGGACCAGTGCGCGAGATCTTAATGGATAATGGCACAGTGTTTCGTTCAGATTGTTTTTGGCAGATGCTTCAGAAATGGAATATCAAACCATTGTTCAGAGCTGCATATAGGCCTACGGGGAACGGGATTGTTGAGAGACACCATCGTACAGTGAAGTCCATTGCAGAAAGAGGAAACATTCCCCCCCAAGAAGCTGTGTTTTGGTACAACTCAACACCAAGGGCAGGTTTGGACCCAGCATCAGTGCCACAGAGAGCTGTCTACCGTTATGATTGGAGAAACCATATCGTTGTTAATGAAGAAGAAGACGGGCCTGGAAGATTTGAAGTTGGAGATGATGTTTGGGTTAAACCACCCCAGAGCAAATGTACGACTAAGTGGAATAGAGGTACGGTTACAGGAGTAAACTCGATCAACAATGTTGCTGTCGATGGTATGGCTCGTCACGTTCTCGATGTTAGAAGAGTGGTACGAGATGTAACTTCAGAGGAAGAGGATGATGAGGGAGGTGGCGGTGAACAGCAAACCTTGCAAACCCTGACGAGAAACGAAGGTGCAGGTGAACCCCCTCCCAGGCGGTATCCTGATCGAGTCAGGAAAACCCCCGGTTGGTTGGTGGACTATGAAACTCAGTAAATGAAGTAATCAAGTGTACAAAGTGTAGATAGCGTTGAACCATGTCCTGTTCGCACGTTGAAGAACTAAATTTTGTTTTGTTTGATCTTGAGATCACGGGGGCGTGTGGTTAGCTGTGTGATTCTCGGGAAAGTAGTCGAGTACGGTTGACATTGAAGAAACCAAGGACAGGCCGAGGCGTGAGCCACGGACTTTTGAAGACTGCGTGAGTAGCGGTCGAGGCGCAGCGCAGAGAGTTGCGACGAGTCAGTGCAAGTTGGATCGCTACATGAGGTGGGTGTGTGTAGTAAAACCGTATGCATGTATAGTTAAACTACATGTCTTTTCACTTTTTCTTTTTCTTTTCTTATGTCATGGGGAGATTTTTTATGCAAGGCAAATGTTTTCCTCGAATGTGTTTATTCAAAACTTTGTTTTAAAACACCATATCTTGGCCAAAAATTAAGGTATTTTGAAAATTTAAAAAGTACCAAGTAGAGGATTGGAAAAACTGTAACAGGACAACCTTAGTTTAAAATGCCTGAAAATTGTGATGTGTCTAGTTTTTCCAAGCCACACACGCATGTAGACTCGAGGAGTATTTTCTCTCTTCGTCCTTTCTCTCTTTGTTTTCACCTTTGTTGACTGCTTCTTTATCTCGAGGGTTCATTTCCTTTTATTACAAAAGTCCAGTCACACAGAATTAATCTTTTACTGCTATGTTTTTGTATTATACCTTTTAATTAGTTAAGTTGACTTCAACTCATTCAGAGCAAGCTGTATAGTAATCCAGGACCATTGACATCATGATCAGTTATGTTTCATGCACGTGGTAATTTGGCATCAAAATTCATTAAAATGTGTTTTTTAAGATGATGTATCAAAACTGTGTTTCTCATGTCAAGTGTACTTGTGAAGTAGCTTTAGATTCTGCTCACACTGCAGAGAAGAGCTTTATTCTTTTTTTTTAATGCTTTGTTGAAATACATTTCTCACTGTCTGTCTCTTTTATCTTTCATAGGTATAAGTAGCACATATATTTTCCAAAGTATAAAAGCTTTTTGTTTTTGAACATTAAAAAATAACAACCCCTTCAACTATATTGCTGTGTTTTGGTACTACTGGTTATATGCACTATGAGAAGTTTACTGAAGATTCTCATGTCTTCTTTATATTCCAGTCCTGACTTTTTGTCTGTTGTCATAAGTTTTATGCTATGAATTTTTTTCAATTCCCAAGGTCTTCTCAAGATTTTAAAAAATGTTTTTGAAATTGTAGTATAAACAGGTAAGTCATGAGAAGACTAGCAAAGGCTCAATGTGTACATTTGAACACCTTTTTGTAATGACCCTCTTCTGGTTTTTAAAGATTATACTGCCCTTAATTTTAGTAAGAGTTTTACAGCACTTTCAACAGAACTAGGTCATATAAGTGCCAAAGATAAGGTTTTATTATTTAGTAACATAAGAATGAAAGGATGATATATGTTTGATAGGAAAGAAGGAGCAGACCACACCAGAGCACCCAACAATCACTCACTTACATTGCCTTTGAACAGTGCCCTCTCTGACTGTTTAAGAAAATGCAAGGAAAATGGCAGTTCTTCTCGAGGGGTGTAAAAATGCATTTTTGTGTCAAAGTTATGAGGCTGTGTTTTATATGACAGAATAAAAGGTGTTATTTTGAGTGCTGTCCAACTTGCAGAGTGGAAAGAATGGAATTTTACGTCAGGAGAGAAGTTTGTGCTTAATTCTTTCTCAACTGTACTTGCCATAAACAGGGGCTGAGGATTCAACTGTATTTTGGGAAAAGTATTAAGTGCACCATACTGCATATTATCGTGGTTTCTCAATGAGCACAGCACTATATGATGCTGCAAGATAATTTTTTTCCTTTTCTTTTCTTCTTAGTCTTGTGCACTCTTACGCCAGTTTAATCTATGCTTCAAGGACAAAGAAAAAACTACTCCTAAGGTTGATGTAAGAAATCTGCATCATGTTATTGCTTGTTGGGGCAGCTGAGTCCTCTTGTTTTTTGTTTTTTTTGTCATTTACTTTTGCTTCCTGGTGAACTCTTTGCATTGCAAATGATGTAATTGTGACCCTGAAGTCTTTAAAAATGAGGTGCAGGTTGTCGTCATGATTTTATAACTGTCTTGTTTCATTGCATTTTTCTTCCCCCTTCTCCTATGCCTTTCAAGTACATAATACAAGCTCCATTTGATGAATGATTTTGAATGTTTATCTGTGATCTGGGATTTTTGAGGAAACATCTGTCTGTTTTATGTGGACTAATAGATTGCCTATACCCTTTGTCTGGATCAAATATTGATAAAAAATATAACAGTCATGATTCATTCCACCTAATTTCCTTTTCCCTAATATTATTTACATTTATTTGTATGTTCTGAAGTTTTTCCGTTTTGGACTTCCTTCCTTTTTGCGATTTGTCAAGCTGCACTAAATTTTTTGGTTTAACATGTCTTTTTTGTTTTGCTTTGAATGATTATTGTCATTCGCAAGATTTCTCTTTCCTTCCTTTTAGGTTATTTACTTTTTGACTTTTATTGACCCAAATCTGGTTTGTCAGTTGTAGGAGGTGGACGACATTGTGTCAGTTGATCAACATCTCATTTTGAACATTTTGAACGAGCACTGAGATTTATACTGGAACAAAAATGCTGCTGCCGTTGAAATCCTGAAATACTTAATTGAAAATTCACCATTAAACTTTCCTGCTTCATAGTGTTGGTAAATTTAGTGTTGTATAAGACTTGAACGTTCTTGCTTCTTTTTGTAAGGGTTAGAAAGTGTGTTATCTTATAGTTGTTTATGCCCTTTGAAAGAAAGTTAGTGCTTCTTTAGGTTATTTCTAGACCTGTTTTTATGTGTGTGTTATTTATGGAAGAATAGTGAAATGGATGAGTGAACACTGTTGCTTGATTTGTTCTTTTCAGTTTGCAGAGGATTTGTGTTTCGTTGGCTTTGCACTCTTCAATGTCGTGTGGGCGACTTTGTACATCAAGTTTTGGAAAAGAGCGTCGACAGAGTATTGCTACCGCTGGGGTACCCTTGAGAAGAAAGATGAAATGCTGAAAGATCCAAGGCCTCTTTTCACTGTGAGTATTTTCAATCTTTCCAAAAAAAGAAGTGAACAGCAAGGGTTATCTTGGGGGGGGGGGGGGGGGGAGGGGGGGAGGTGTATAATTTTCTTTTACTGTCAATTTAAACTCTTTCATTTCATGGCGGGTGGTTGTGGGATGCCAGTAGGTCGTATCTGTTTTCCTTTCTTCGGTTGTTTCTGTTTGTCTGTCTTACACTAAATGACTGTTATGTTGATATGCTGCTTTTTCTTTTACAAAGAAATACTATTTTATTATTTTATTACTGTTGAACGTTTATGTTGTGCGTGTTCCCAGAATAGTGTGTGTGTGTGTGTGTGTGTGTGTGTGTATGTGTGTGTGTGTGTGTGTGAGAGAGAGAGAGAGAGAGAGAGAGAGAGAGAGAGAGGGAGGGAGGGAGGGAGACAATTCTGTGAATGGCTAACTGACAGTAGCTGTTTGCCATATTATCAATCTTGGAATATTGCTATTCTTTTTGTGGAGTGACTGCACTCTGTCCTGTGGGTGCTATTCTCTTTACTTGTTATTCAGTGCTCTGATTTCGGCATTTTGTCTGTAGGTTGTTCCTAGCTTTAATGAATTCAAGCCCAAACTTAAAACTTCAATTTTCTTTTTATTTCTTTTTCCTCTTTTGACGACTTGGTGAGGTATCAGTAGTCTCGTACTCAGGCCACTGGATTCGTAATTGTGAGATTGGGGTTCTTATCTCAGCACGGTCCCATGTTGTGTCCTTGAGGAAAACAATTTTATGTGAAAGTTTCCGTTTGTCTCGGCCCCAGTAGAGATGGATGTTAAATTTGGAGGCTAACATCCTAACTCTTTCAGCCCCAGCCATTTTTGTGCACTGCCTAACCCCAATCCCAGCCAATACAGCATGCTAGCAGTATTTCAGAAAAAGAGGCATGCATTCTAAAAAGTGATGGAGTATCTTTCTAATAACATATGACAATGTTTAAAGGTAAATGAAAAATATTATGAAAATTCAAATTTAATTAGGTTTACTAATTTCGAAAAATTCGCAAATTTGGTGTCCCCCAAAACTGGAGTATGTGCTCTTGGGACGGTGGGAGGTACAAGCGCTGGTGAAAATATAGGGGCATGGGGCTGGAAGGGTTAATAAATAACCTTGTGGTGCTACAAGAGGCATTAAACCTATATAATTAAGCACATTAAAAAAAATTAAGATTGGGTGACAGTTAAGTGCCCAATTAAAAGTAAGTAGTATTCAGCAATATTTGGCTAGTGTCTTTAATGTGTTGGAAGCAGACATGATGATATGAGATCAGCTCATACATGATATGGATATTTTGTTCTCTGTCTTTTCTACCTTTTGGTAACCTTTGAATCAGAAGAAGAGCCTTGGAAAGTTTTTATTTATCTGGAGTATTGCTTCCTGGTTGTTGGCCCTTGGTCTTAAGACATGGTATGCTTTCAGCCCAAACTTGATCCTGAAGTTTCATTTCTTTCTCTTTGTTTTGTGACAGGGCGACTTGGTTAAGAGCCCTGTGACTGGTCACTTGGAGCTGCACTATCCGGCTTGGAAGAGGCTACTATTTCGCTACTGCATCACCATGCCAGTCATTGGTTTGTGTCTGGTCCTCGTCTTTGTCTTCATGCTGCTGTGTTTCGAGCTGCAGGTGAGTGAAAGTGACAGTTATAGTTGTACTGATATTTTGTTGTCCTCCATTTCCTCTGGTGAAGCCTCCCACAAAGTCACAGTGACTCCCTCAGCAGGAAAGGGCAAAGCTTCCAAGACGTTGAGCAAACTATGAAAGAAAGTTTGGTGCCATAGAATTGTCAACAAGATCTAGATGTAAGTTTACCAAGCATGCATTCTGACCGTATGAAGTGAGACCTGAACAGCGTCCTTCCATCTGGAGAAAACTCAACCGTTTTCATGTAAGGTGTCTTAGAAAGTTTCTTGAAATAAGATGGCAAGACTACCAATGCAGAGGTAATGAAAAGAATTTAGAGTTTCCATGACTTGTGCAATCATGAAGATCTGGAAGGCTTGGATAATTTCACAGCATGGAAGGTGACAGAATACCGGAAGAGCCTCCTCTTTGGTGAACCAGGGTGTGGAAGGAGGAAAAAAAGTCAGCCAATACTAGGGTACAAAAATGTCTCCTGATGAACCTGGGAGCAGGTGACTGGAGGTCACATCCAATGGAGGAGAGAAATCAAGGCCATTCTCAAGATCTGGGAGAAAGAAGAAACAAGTGCAGAGACTTAGGATGATGTAGTAGAATACAGAACATTTTTCATTTCCTTGCACTGGGCTCTAACCAGTAATTTCTGGTTTGTATTGGCTCGACTCCTCTCATGACAAATCATCACAGGACATAAAAACTCAAACTGATCCATAGCAAGCTAGTTCTTTACCATTCTACTTTCTGTGTATAAGTACAAAATACCAGATTACTTTCTATAAAGCGCATGTAGCTATAAGTCCCTGTGTTACTTTGTTTCCGCCTCTGCTGATTGCCCCAGTAACCGTCTAAAGCTTGGGAACTTGATGGGTACGAGTAGAGAAGTTTTGCTATAAGTAATTGTTTGACTGTTTGGGAAGTGAGTCATCCCTCAGTATTACGATAGTGAGACTTTGAACCTCCGACTTGTGTGTCTTTGTTGTCATGTCACATGGTATGAAGAAATTGGCATTTTTAAGATGTTGTAAGTTGTAGTTTGAAATAATTAGTTCATGTTTTGTAGCAATGGTTGTGGACATTCTTAGTTGTATGGCTAAGAAGTCGGTCGTAGATTAAAAAAAAATAAAAATTCTGACCCATTGTAAAGTTTGTTCATTGAATAGTGTGCTCTTTTCAGCAGGCCTGTGGCTGGCATGGGATACTTTGGTGATCTCAGAGACAGTAATGAGTATCTGTTGAATGGTGCAGAATTGAAGTACTTCTTTAAAAATTCTTACGACTTTTTTCTCAGGCCTTTGAAAGCTTTTTTATGATGTAGATCAGTGAACAGATTTCTGAACGCATACTTTGAAGAGTGTGGATTAAGATGTGGAGCGTCATGGGTTTACTTTCTTTCAGTGTTGCTATTTTAAGTTTATCAACGTCCGTTGTACAAGATACTGGTTTATGGACATTTTTATCAACTTTTCACTTATTGGTGGATGAAAAGGCACTGTATACTCTCTTAAAGTAATTTACTGAGCTCTCAAACTCCTCAGGAATTGGTGAATGAACTGATCGGAGAGGAAGAGCTGCCGTATGTGTTCAGCTTTGTGCCGAAAGTTTTGCTTGCTGTTGTGGTGTCTATCTTTGACGAGGTCTACAAACAGATTGCCATTTGGCTTACCCACAAGGGTAAGTTCAGCATATAGTTTGTGGATAGTTTGGTCACTCATAATCCATTGCAAAGTTGTGATTCCTTTTAATTTAAGTGAAATGAAAACATGAATATCTTCGAGTTGCTTTTACACTGGTATTATGTTGTGCGATAGGTGAACATTTTAATTACTGTAGAATTGAAAAAGAAAAATGTTGTTATCCTTTCTTGCAAAATTTTGCAACAGTTTTAAACAGTACGGTGTGATTTGAGCTTGCTTAAAAGGTGCCTGATACTTTCCCTGCTTATGGAACAGCTTAAGCCATAATAAACAGACATATTGTATTATGTTGCTGACTATAATTGAAGTGATGTTTTTGACTATTTTACTTTATATTTCAGAAAATTACAGACTTGAGGAATCCTATGAGACTAGCCTGGTGATCAAGATGATTTTGGTGAGTGGAATTTTATTCTGATTTACTAGCAGTTACTTGCAGGTTCTGTGATTTACTATTGTATACTCTCTTTCAAGGTTTTTAGAAGTCCGGTAACGAACACAATAGAAAAATAAGTGATTCTGAAACCAAAACACTAAAAATGATGTGATTCTTAACATTATTGTTAATATGAACTCAACACTTATATACATTGGGACCTGTTCCAATGACCACCTGTCTGAGACAGTCACCTGTACAAATGACCATTTTCCACTTTCCCCCTTGTGTCTTTTTGTTTCTGTGATGTCATGGTCCAAGACGTCCACCTGTCTAAAGAAACACACACTTTTCTGTTTAACAGTGAGTGGTCATCTTGGAAAATTTTGACTGTATTAACTCACTCAACCCTAGGCTTACCAGTTGTCAGCTCTTCCTAGAGTTTTTTTACCACTTTTTGAAAAATTGCAAAAAATAGTAAATTTTAACATATCCTACCGAAATTTGGTGCACATTTTATTCTAACCTATATTTGTGTGTATTGAAATTTCAAAGCAAAATAGGTTTATGTATAGAGTCCAAAAGTAAACAAGAAGCAAAGAAAGGAAGTGAGTTCAAATTTTGCACCCCCTCACATGTTGCACGAATATAGCTTTCTTTGTTCTAAATATAGGCTTGCCCTTCTGGCCATAGTCTGCTTTATACAAAAAATGGTTACTCTTCCAATTAGGCTATAGTTTGCTTCAAACAAAAGTAGTGTTTTCGGTCACGAGAGCCAAAATTTCCATACTGATACTGTCGGCGTTAGGGTTGCTGCATTGCACGCGCATACCGATATTATTGGCGTTAGGGCTGGTTGAGTTAACCAAGCTTCCATCTTCTTGTACAGGAGACCTGGCTCCGATTTTTTTGCAAAGCTGGACTCGAACTATTAATTCTTCTTTTTAGTTTAAATGTTGTTTTTGATATGGGTAAATTACATACAGTCGAACCTGTGTAAGACAGTATTGCAAGGGGGCCTGAAAAAAAATTCCGTCTTTGACAATGGAATAAAGGGGAGATGGAGGGCGGTTTCAGAGGCCCAACCGATGGGATCAAGGGTTTCTTGTCTGGTCTGAAAGCAGTGGTCAAAACTTCACTCCTCTTAAGTTCTATTCTCTCTGATAATGGTAGGCCTCAGTCCTACTTTTCCATTGCCACAAATGCTTGCATTTCATAGGACCACTGTTTGGCCAATTGAAAACAAAAATGTTTGAACATCTCCTTTTCTTCTACTCTTGGCCTCACCTATCGGTACAATAAACACAGCCAACCATTGTCATCTCTCCTGTGCATGTAACAACGATTCGAGAGACTCTTTTACTCGGCTGGCCTTACAATCAGGGCGACCGACATTGGTCAAACTAATTTCACACCTCCGGCCTCTGACTACTCATGAAAGCTTCCGTTACTCGATCACTTTAACAGGCACGGGTGAGATTTCATACCCACACCACCCTGACCATCTGCAAATGGCTGGAGTAACATCAAGGGTCTTACTACCTCCTTGGGTAACATCTACTTTTAGTTGCACCCCTACTCCCCTTCCTCACCTGGCGGTGTGGGGTAAAGGTTAAAGCCGATGGAACCAAACTCGACAGTTTTGTCTCAAATCAGGGCTGAGTGGGCAAAGAGTTTTCATTATTAAACAGGTAAAATCCATCTGAAAGGAAAGAATTCCTCTTGATTTTAGAGGATTTTTATGAAAAGGGGAGAGGGAAGATTTTGTCATGACAGGTTTCCATCGTACACAGGTTTCTGTTAAGGCAGGTTCGACTGTGTGTCTATTGATTTTTTCATGGGATAAACATAAAAATAGACCATATTGAAAAAGTTAAGCTTCGAGTTAAAACTGAAAACTGTTTTTACAGTTTCCATTTAAAGAGATGGGTTCAGTCTCTAAACTTACAAGTGATACTGGAAGTAAAGTTAAAAGATATTGCTTTTGCTTTCTCTCTCAACAGTTTCAGTTTGTGAATTCATTTCTGTCCCTGTTCTACATTGGCATATACCTCAGTGACATGGATCGTTTGAGAGATGTGAGTAAAAAACATGTCCTCTCTTTTTGTACATATTATGGTGATTCCACTATGTAGAGACCATGTACTTTTTAGCTTTCATTCTTGATTTATTCATGACAAGTACAAGTGGTGATGCTTATTGATGTTTGTTTGGTTTGGGATAATTTTAATCTGCCTCATATATTGTTGTATAGTTCAGGAAGCACTGTGTTCACTGCTAAGAAGTTATGATATTTGCTACCTTTTTGTGCGTTGGTCTTTCTCAACTTGATGTAACTACTCCCGCCGAAAGGTTTTCCAAAAAAAGTTTTTTCTGTCCCCAGCAACTTGCTGCACTGCTGATCACCAGACAGGTTTTAGGCAATCTGAAGGAAGCATTCATGCCTTATGTTGTCTGGAAGGCACGTTTGTACAGTGTTGGTTATCGCATGGCAACCAGAATGTCCCCAGCTTCTGTAGAGAAAGAGGTTAAGAGGATGACGGCTCGATCTCGACGTGTGGACTCTACTGCCTCGAAAGCAGCAAAAGCCAAAGATCATCAGAAAAAGAAGAATGCTGATGGGGCCAAAAGCTCTGACAGTGAGAGCAGCCTTTTGACTGAGGAAGAGGATGATGGGCTGCCCACACTCACGCAAGCTGAAGTGGAGAGTGCCATGAGAAAGGTGTGTTGTTGAGAAGTTCTATTGTTGGACTGAGTTTGTACTGAGTTTGCATTTCCGATGCTGAGACTTTAGATTTTGAATTTTCATATGTTTACTTCCAAGGGAAAAATTTGATGGATGAAGCTGGAAGGGAAAACAATTTTTCTGTGAGTTGCAAGTTTTACATTGATCAAGATTTATTTGATTGCTGTAATCAGAAAAGATCTTCAAGTGTTGTGCCCATACCTAGGAGTCTTCCCTAAAAATTATGAAATATCTTTTCTTGAAATTTCAAGCCCTTTATCTGAATGCCCTAAAAGATACACATTTTTTTAATTTGAATTTAAGTTTCATAAACCTTAGTCTGTGTCTAGATGGCAGAGAGTAGGGCACTAGGAAATAAACACTTTTGGTTTCGTTTTGTTGTTGTTGTTTCTGTCAGTCGTCTGATTTTCAATACTATCCAGATGTATGTACATTGAAAGGGTCAAAAATAGCAGCGTTTCAGTGTAATCGGAAGCTAACACCCTTTTGGAAAATAATTGCATAAACCATGATATTTTTTAAATGAATTTTATCTGCTTGTGATGAAGAAATGTTTTGTGTTTGATTGCCTTCTTTCAGTATGAAGATACGTTGGATGACTTCTTGGAGATGAGCATTCAGTTTGGATACATCACTTTATTCTCTCCGGCCTTTCCTTTGGCTGCTCTGTGTGCCTTGTTGAACAACATCATAGAGATCCGCTCCGATGCTTTCAAGCTTTGCCTTAATCATCAGAGACCTTTTGGCCGAAGGGTGGACAGCATAGGCATTTGGCAGGTATGCATATTAAGGGGTTTACAGGCATAAGTGTTTTGTTTCATTTGTTTCTCTTGTCGGGGAAAAATGAACTGCTCACCCACAAGGAAGGTTTTCTCCTGAAATTAGTAGTTTTAAATTCTTTGGAAGGATTAAGACAGTTTCTTATATGTTTTGTGTTTCTCTCTCAGTGTTTCACTTTGTTTGAAGAAATGAAATGACAGAGGCAATGCAGTGTGAAGCTGCTGAAGTTCTAGGTATAACCCGATTCACTCTGCATTGCTGCGGCAGTACACTTGTGTCCACCTGGCTTGCTGCGATCCGGGGGTAAAAATTCAGCCTGAACTCAACACACTAACTTTAGATACGCACTGTGATTTAAGGTATCAATATGAAATTTAGTTTAGATTTTACTTAAAATGTTCTTTTAATATTATTAGAGAGAAAGATGAAGGAAAGAGCAGAGGAAACAATACATTCTTCATCCGTAGCAACTTATAGTAAATCTATGGTCCAGATCAAGCTGTTCGTTGAAGTTTTCATGGCACCAAAATCAACCTGATTGCCTTGTTTTTCTAGATTTACATTTACTTTCACTTTCTATGCTGCTTATGCCTAAAACAAAACTAAAAACATAGTTCATGTATTTTAACGAACACAAAAAAGGCTGTGGCACTGTTGTTTTTTGTGGCTGTTTTTTTTTTCTTCTCGTCCATGGAGATTTCAGTGCTCGCTTTCTTGCCATGATTTGTGGTTACAAAACAACAAAACTAACTCGAACTTGGCAAAAAGCTGGATCAAAACAAGCCAGCAAAAGTTTTTACAAGCTGCAAGTGACATATTATTTTCAATAGAAACCTGGATAATTGGTTTGGACTCAATTTTGTGGACTGGTATTTTGCTCTGACTATTGTCGTAGCTCAGTGGACGGAATATACTCGTAGCTCGGATGCAATTGATTAATGCAAAGAGAAGTTTAGATAGTACTGCATAGTATTGTTGTTATTGATCAAGTTTTATATGAGCTCTTTTGATTGCAAAGGTTTCACATGTTATCTTTCATTTTGAAATTAGAAATCAGATCAGGTCAGATGTATGCATTAAAGGAGAGCATGTTCAATGCTTTTCCATACCCATGTTACAATATTTCATCATGGTGCGCATTCCATGATTTATTTAATTAAGACAGTGGAAAGTTAGTTTTTTTTCTGTTTTTTTTTCTCTTCTATAAAAAAACATCTTGTACTTAATTTGGGAAAGAAAACAACTGAAGCCTGTGTGATAAAAAGGAAGTTGATTTTTAATGCATTGTATAGTTTTTGAAGCCTTCATGAAGTAACAAAAGCTTTTACAAGCTTCCAAATTACCCTTCGTTTTGCAGGATGTGTTGGTCGTGATCAGTATATTGGCAATCATTGTGAACTGTGCACTAGTGGGAACCTCCGGTTTGCTGCAACGAATGTATCCAGGTCTTAGCACCACAGTGTATTTTCTCATCATAGTCATCATTGAGGTGAGGATGGTTTGAATTTTCTTACTGTCTTTTGAAAGTTGGGGGGGGGGGGGGGTGGCTGTATTTGCATATCCATTGTTAATCTCTAAAATCAAGAGAGCTTTTGTTAATTGAAAAAATTTGCTGTCAAAGAGAAGTGAAATATTCAGTTAAAATACGTAGGCATACTTTAACTCTTTCACAACCGCGACACATGTTTTACTCCTAATGCTAGACAGCAAGCTGTGTTTCATGGTTCTCCACTTTCTGCTTCAAAACTAGTCCTACTTTTGTAATAATCAAAACTGAAATCTCACACTGAAGAACGATAATTTTTAGTAAAATGTTGAAATATTATTTCCCTTTCATTTTCATATATAATACATGTGCCTAATATTGAAAATTGAACTAAAAATCTTTAATTTGTCTGAGGGTAGGCCGAATCAGAAAGCAGGTCACAGGTAGATGAGATTTACATGACCATCTCCTCCACTCTCTTCACTAATGAAATGAGGACCGTACCGCTGAACCACTTTTAAACAATATCTTTGGCTGTCATCAAGTTAAGTGAATACGCACACTCCACAGCACCTGATCATCGCCATGAAAGTTGCCTTGTCCCGCTCCATCCCTGATCTTCCTCCAACAGTTGCTACAGAAATGGCAAGACTTGAGTATCAGCGCACTGAGGCTCTCAAGGTATGGAAGGTTTTTAAAAAAAATATTAATTAAAAAAAAATTTAAGTTCTTTCCCTTTGATTTGATTGGGTTTTTAAAAAAATATGTAAAGAATGAGCTGCCAACAGTGTTAACCACAGACTCTGTTCTTCTTGTTGAAGAAATGCATTTTTGGATTTCTATCTTCTGTGGTCATTTAAGATTGGATGATTCATAGAGTATAGGTAACTTGGTGAGACCAGCGCTCTCTTTTTCTCCGGTCAGCTTTGTTCGCATTTTCATTTTCGTGCTGACTGCTGACGTCGGTATTTCCGACATAATTGCCGGAACCTGGGTAGAAATACAAATACGAAAAACGACAACGAGCTAAATTAGATCTACTTTCAGTTTCATGCTCGAGTGGCCATTTTGAATTTCGTCTGTTGACCGATTGTTCGGATGTGTGTTCATTCAAGGCCTACTCATTTGTTCTGCTAGAGATATATAGATTCATATAGATAATTACAGACCTCTATGCAGGATTCATATTCCTATTCTATTGTGTCGAACACTATTATAGGTTGTGCTGTAATGTTAATGTTGGTAAAAGAGCATTTCATCTGGTGCATAAATTATTAGACTCAGCTGAGTCCCTCTGTTTGGATGTGGATTTCTTTCAAGGCCTATTCCTATTCACTTGTTCTACTAGATCGAGATTTATTTAGATTACTATATGGAGGATTCATATTCCAATTCTATTGTGTTATTGCATCAAACCATATTATAGCAATGTTGGCCATTATGCTCCTTGTTTGTTTTGGGGTGTGTTTTTTTTTCATTTTGGATTTTTGCTGGCTTGTTTTTTTTTACATTTCTGAAGGGCCATTACAGGTTCTTTTTTGGGGGCTGGCTGATGCCCCCATCAAGTGCTGCTATTTTATGAGGGAGGACTTCCCTAACGAGCGACCACTATGAGACAAAGGCTCTTATGGGTGTGTGGGGGGGGGGTTGCAAAATTTTCAGACAATCTGGTTGAGGCTCACATGCAGGTTTATGCGCAATGTTTCACTCCTGGTTCAGCCTCACTAAGTTAAATTTTCATCACCTGAACTTGTCAGGATACGGCATTTGGTCTGTTATGGGAAGTTGTTTTCAGCTTCAATGTCTCGTTGATATTGGGAGATTTTTAATGGCAGTATGACAATGAGTGTGTGTGAAAGCCATCTGCTTTGTTAGTGCCTAAAATATACTGATTACATAAACTTCAACGGAGAAGTTTGCTGCAACTGCACTGAGGTAAAAGCAATTTCATTGCACAAAGCATGGTAAGGCATGGCTGCAATAGAGAAATTCTTGTTTGTTCTGACTTGGATGCTGCCAGTGGAAATCATGACATGATAACATCTTTGATGCCTGATATTCATCATAGTTATAGCTGTTTCTTTTTTCAACTTAAGGTTATGTTGAATCAATTTGGTATCTTTGGAGTTCTGGTTATATGATGTAGATGTACTTTTGTTGCGATAGCGTGGAAGCAGATATCAGGGATGGCCCCCTTATCAGTTTGTGTTGCTTTCTGCCCCTGGATTGGCGAAGAAAAAAGCTTACATTTATTTCAGATAACGGCAAATAGTCACTAAAAACCTAAAATGGATCTCAGAAAAATGAATGCTGTAGAAAAAGGTGTACAAAAGGTTCTGTTGTTATATCCTCTCTCATGAGGGAGACACTCCCATTTGTGTTATAGTAGGGGTATGACTGTTTTCAGTAAAAGTTTATTTCCGTTTCCCCTTTCTTAGAATAAATTAGAAGTGTCTTTCACGCCTCTGCGACCTGAATGTGGTCCCACGGAGGTTGGTGAATCCAGAGGTCAAGAAAGTTCCGAATGAAGGGCTCAAATTGACTTTTATCCTGTTTTCTTTATGTTGGTCCTATTGGTGCTCATGATTTTCGTGATGTATAAATCCATGTGCTGTTAACAAGAAACATGAAATTAGCATTCTTTAGGTGCCAGATGGTTGTTACATTGGAGGTCAATTTTGATGTTCTTTGTGCCGAAAAGTTAACTTCATTCTGCTGTTTGAACTACAAGTTATATTTTTGTTCTTTCCTTTGACCGTTGGAATAAAAATAATTCATTTGTAGATTGTTCTCCTACATCTCATAATCAGAACTTCTACATTAAACTTAGTGTGCAGTAGGGTAATGCCCATGGCTCAAAACAATATTTTAACTTGAGTTAGATTTTATATCAGGTCTAGTATATGCAGTCAACCTGCTCTAAGACCATCTGTCCAAGACCTTTAATAACGACTGCTTCTCTCTTCCTCCCTTGCAGATCTTAAAAAAATTATTATAATGACACTGTCTAGGATGTCCATCTGTCTAAGCCAAACAATTGTCTCCATGACAACAGATGACTGTTTTGGACAATTTCAGCTGTATGTCTTCTAAGTGAAAACTCTATCGAGCCTCTCATATTACGCTTAATTCTTCTTGATTATTTCAGTCAATCCGATAATAATGTTTCTCTTGCTTTGCATTTTAAATGATACCTAATTGCAATAATTATTACTGTTTTTCAGCAACTTGTATTGCAAGCAACTCCAAACCAAGTCGGTGGCAACCTCCTATCTCACTATTCTGGCAGTCCAAACCTGAGAAGGAAGAAAACAAGTGAGTCTGTAAGTTCAGAACAAAGCAGCAGGGAGGACTCGCCTCCCGTGAAAACATCAGCTGCCCCAAAAAATTTTTCGGCCCCGACTGTCATTACCCCAACCAGTTCAACTCCTCGGCCAGCAGATATTCCTCTGGCAGCATCTTCCACTCCGGCTAGCTCCTCCCCACACATTATGAGACCCAAGATTCCGCCTCGGTCCTCATTGCAGACTTCAACCTCTTCCACATCCTCCAACCCCTTCCTCACCAATGTGTCTTCCACCCATTCAGATGTCGCTGAAAAAGTTGTGGCAGCTGCAATGCACCCGATGTTTGATTACTCGGACATCACTAGCTCAAGCAATTCCAGTTCGAGATTGATGCCACCACCTCCTCCTCCACCTCCACCTTCAGCCTCTGGCGCATCGCTGTCTACAGCTTCTCCACTCTCCCGGAGAACACATGCATATCCGCCTATCAAGAGCGATAGTGGGAATAGCGGGGTGGTCAGGAAACTAGTGCGGAGTCGGGCTGAGTTGGAAGTACGGCGTCGTAGATCAGAGCCTGTATCGTCAGCTGTGACCGAAGCCCTAAACGCTCAGCAGAGAGCTGGAGATGACAGTGGACTGCAGAGGAAAAGCATTTATGAAAACAGAGAAGACCTCAGCCAGCGTGAAGAAAGTAAAAAGCAGCTGAACAGCACCGCCTTGAGAGCAGATATCAGGAAGAGTCGGGAAAAATTAAACTACACCTTGGAAGATGTCAGCGAAAAACATAAGAAGAGATCTGAGTCTCCAGTTTTGTTTGCACCTAAGGCAAATGCTTCTCGACTGGCAGCTGGGTTAACATCTCTACCACCAAGCATTCCTGCAAGCTCTTCCGCCCTCTCTTCTCATCACAGATACTGTCACTCACCCAGATTGTTGAGAGGGGGTGCTTTAGGAGACCCTTCACCTTTGGCCCTAAAAGTTCTCACTCGGAAATCGAGATCTTTCTCCAGTGCTGATGTCACAGAGGCGCGCCAGGCATTTCGTGATAGAATGTCATGGCGGGGTGAGCTTCCTGTTGTTGGCAGAGCTGTTGTCTCAGAAAAATCTCCTCTTTCTGTAGACAGTAAAAAGGAAAAGTCGGAAGAAACTGAAGTTGAAAAAATAAAGTCATCTTCCGAGTTTGGCAAAAAATTTGATGAGAGCTCTCGAGTAGAAATGTCAAGTAGGGAAACAGGTGAAACTGGTAGTAGAAAGGAGGTGAATGAATCAAGTGTTAATGTTGAGGCGGAACCAAGAGTTTCTGAGATTTTGAACAAGGACATACAAGAAGGAGAGAGCGATAAAGAAGGTGACAAAAGAAAGAGAGTACCTTCCAAGGAAAGATCTGACTCTAGATTTACTTTCTTTAACCGTGCTGTTAGAGAAAATGCAAGCAAGCCGCTTAGCATTTCTCCACACAGGGGGGAGTCTAAAAAAGAAAAAAAGTGACTTATCTTTTCCTTTAAAAGTATTGGTGAATGTTCAAATCTGTTTTAAGCTATTATAGACATTATTGTTGAACAGATAGAGAAAGGCTTACTTCCTTTATTTTTGTTTTTTGCTACAGGTGGTTGTAAATGATTTGTTGCCTCAAAGTACACTGGACATTTTCATTAATAGAAACTGCTATATACGCATACCCAACTTGTATTGAACTGCTTTTCGTATCTACTGGGGTTTGAGTTTAAGCGATTAGAAGCATACTGACTCAATAACAATTGTTTAGTAACAGAAAATTCAAGATAGGCAGACAGAAACAACAGAGTGGAAGCTAAAATGTAGGACTTACCCATGGTGACCTCTCTCACAGCGATCATCTGACTTCTTGATATTAATCACGATATTAGACTTCAAGGAAATATTTCATAGTTAATGAAAGTTTTCATGTATGGAACATTATCATTTAGTGTTGTACACTAAAGACATATTTGTGATAAGAGAATGTCAGTTTGCTTGAAAAATTTCGTTCAGTTATTTTTATTTCAAAATAACTAGTCAGCTGCATGTTTACCATGTAGTAATTTGAACTTTAGGAAAGGTTATCCTCTTCCAAGTTGTCTCCTGAAAAGTGTCAGTTTCGAATATTAAGTTTTACTTACCAGACATGGAGAATGTTCAACATGTATAAAAATAAAAGCAGAGGAAGTTGGCCATCTGCTTTTTTTGACTGGTCGCGACCCACGTTGGCATATTTGAAAGTAAATAGTTATCAGAAAAGTAAGTGAGTAGTTTTCAGTGGTTGTGTCATATTGTGCTGAGGTCAATGCTCCAAGTTACTTGAGAAATGTGTAATTGTCAGATCTCACCTCTTCTTCATTTCACTCACTCTGTAATTCTTCTCTCCAGTTATGTACTGCATAAATCGAAAAGACTTTCCTTAATTTTGTATTTAAAAATTTTTTCTGCGGATGCTTTCGCTTCGAGGGAAGATCTTATACATTTTTGCTTCCCTCAAAGGAGATAATTACTCTTGGATGAATGGTCTGACCTGAATTAAGGCTTTTTATGAACTTAAGATTATGGAAAAAACTGTTTCCTTTTTGTTTTGAAGGATATCTTGATCTTTACATTATTAACAACATTATGTTTGTCAGACTTGACTGAAAGCTTACATTTGTTTTGAACGCAATAATTGTCTTTAGTTTATTATTTTCGTGTCATTTTATCCTGTTGTATGGTAACCACTTCTTATTTTTTTATTCTTACATTCACTATTCGGTACTCAGAAGTTTGCTGAAGTCTGACTTTCAATCATATTGTCACTTGCGACTTTCTCATGAGAAAGTATAGTTTTAGATTTTAAAAAGCTCAGAATCACAGTATAATGAAACTATTATCATTATCACTAAACTGACTTTTCAATATATGTAGTTTAATGTAGATGCACATTTTAAGCTACTTTATATCTTTGAATTATTGATTAGTGGAATTATTTTTGTATAATTATTTGTAAGCATAACTAGAATATTGATGATAGTGTGTAGAAAGATCAGAACAGCCTATGTTTTTTTTAGTATTGATTTCTGTCTACAGCCACTCATGGGTTTCTGCAATGTCTACATTGTTCTTTCTACTTATAGAAAGTAAATCATCTAGATTTTGAAAGAAGGTATTGCAGTTGAAGAGTTATTAGACACAGACATATTTTTGGGGGTCAGTTTTGTAGTTCCATTGTCAGAATCTGAGTGTTTGTGTGGACAGTAATCACTAATATCAATACAAAACAAGAATCTCATGTAATTCCTTCTTGCTCCTAGATGTTAATTGTTTGATTGCTTGTCTGCTGTTTGATTGGGATTGCTTTGAATGGTATTTACTTTTAGATTGATCGTCTCAAATGCTTAAGCTGTTTACTGACTGACTTTGAAATGGGATTATCATAATATGAACTGCAGAAGTATCTTCTGGAGTGATTCATTGTATAATGGATAACTGCTCAATCACTTCAGAAACAAATTATATTTGAAATTATTGTGGAAAGGTTCATCAAATATTAACTCTGAACAAATCGTCAATTCAGATACGGAATGATCATGAACTTGTTAGCAGCTGTACCATATATCAGAATGTGAGGGAAAAAATGCTATTATTTTGTTGGAATCTCATTTTTGTATCCTGTTTGCGTCTCTTGAAAAAGAAGTAGGGGTATTTTCAACTTCTGCTTAGTTGCTGCCCATGTTTCTTGTAATGTAAGGAAACTGAGTCAAAATACTTACGTCTATCTAACTACAGCACATACTGGTGATGTGTGAAATGCTGTTTTTTTTTCCAGCGATGAAGATATGGGGCTGTCAGAAGAATACTTGTCCAGTCAATTTAGGGTTGTCATAATTTTAAAGGCGTAATTATCAATTAGTCTCGAATCACTTGTTCTTTGGTTTACAATATTGAGACGTTTACAATTTGTTGTGTTTTTATTGTGATGGTTTAAAGGACACTCAGATTTGTTCGTAGAACACTTTCAACCAAGGGTCATACTATTGGGTGTATTGTTGTACGGAAAAGATTAATTAAGTTTGAGAAGAGGTGCTGTTCATTTGTACGTCTGAGTGTTAGCGAGTTGACACATTGTAATTTCTAAAAAATCATTTTTGCATGAATATATGAATGTACGTATCTTTTGCAGTGAGCATGAATCTCAGCGGTTGGGCTGTGTACAAATGTATAATGTTGATACTGAATCACCAGTGTGCAGTAGTCATAAAAGTTTTGAATATCGTTCATTCTATTCTGCCATAAAAGCTACCATTCTGAGGAAATAACTGGTAAGCTTCTGTACTGCCCATGTCTCATCAGTGTGTTGGCACTTTAGCTCAGAGCCAGAGCACAACTGCCTCTGATGAATCGATGTACTTCCTGATTGATGGTGAGACCGTGCACTTTCGCTTTCCTTCGCCAGATGTGCAACCGAAAGCTCATTTAAAAATAGGGCACTAAAAACAAGGATGAGAGCTTTCTTCTGACGTTTTTTCGGATCAGAACAATTTCTGCAATGCTGCATTTATTTTGGCTGACACGAGTAAGGTCTTGATTCGAATTTTGACAAGACATTTAATTTTCATTTTAGTAATCCACATTTGTACTGTGTTCATGGGGCTTCCTTTCATTTCATATATTCAAATCATTTGTTTTGTGTGGAAGAAAGAGAAAGTTATGGTTTTTCCACCTTCTCTGGACTGAATTCAGTAATACTTATGAGTTTAGAATAAAAGTTTGAGATACGAGAGAGTGCAATAAGGGTATATATTGTGGCAGAAGTAAATAATCAGTTTTATAATTATAACTTTCTGTACTTAAGTTTTGTAGTATAACCTGAAGTGAAAGATTATGCAAAGAACACACTGCTCACGATTCACAGATGTTTCTATTAAACTGTTGTAATAATTTTCAATGCTCTGAAGGCTGTGTTATTACTGTTTTGATTGATGTAGTATTTCGCTTATATCTTTTGTGACGCTCCATTCGTTCTCATATATTGCTTTTGAAAGATTATTGCTAGGTTACTGTTTTGTTTATGTCTACCTTAAACGTAAGCAACGTCTGTGCACAAATCATTTGATTTTGATATTATGTGGTAGATTGTTTTTCTATAACGTTTGATTGTTCCGTGCATTGTTTTTGATTGTTCATAGTCCAAGTTCGTAGTTCTTTTATGTTGGTCTGGATTGGTGACAAATTCAGATAGTCTCTCTGCCTTTGATATTTCATATCAGAATGAAAATGCAACTTTGTTACTTGTGTCCTGTGATTTCCAGACCAATGCTGTTGAGCAGCTTGTCTGCTTACTCCTTTTTAGCCAGTCAATCAGATCTTTACTTGAACTGTCTAACAGAAGTTTCATACAGAGAACTAATGCCATGGTTCTGCCTCTAGTTGATCTTGTTACTTAGGTTTCTTTTGTCCTTTAGTACTTTTCCTCTTTCCTGATGTCACTGGAATGTTTGTGAAGGTTTAACCATTGCCCTTTTCTGTTTTTCTTTAGTGAATTCTATCTTGATGGGTTCATAGCCATCCCTGTTTTGATGTTGTCTTTCCTCTTTTATGTTTGTCTTGTTTCGAGCGGTTACTAATGCTGTTATCTGGTCTTTACCAGATGTTGTTATGCCGACTTGCCATAAAACTACTACCCAATTACCCTTTGTCCCCTTACAAAATGGTCTTTCCATGGAAGTCTTGATGGATGTGAAGTTTGACAGTACCACCGTATCTTTTTTTTTGGAGGGGGGGGGGGGGGGATAACTGCAAGGCTGTCATTCTATAGTGGTATTGGGTGTTGACTTTTTTGTGGGTTCCTCATGTGGTCTATAATTTGAATGCATAAGGTCTTCTTGTAGCATATCAGTTCAGCTCCCAATGCTTTTTTTTCATCTCTAAAGAATGTCTTCAGTTTTTAAGTTTGCAAAAATATGTACAGGGCATAAAGTCCGAATACAAGTTTCTTGAAGTGGCCACAGATATTTTTTCTTTTCTGTACAGAGGCTTGAAATGTATTTTGATATTTCTGCTTTGGATTTTTCCTATATTTTTTGTGCATAGACATAAATTCTTCTGAGAACTGGGGTTTCAATGAGAAAATCAGCTGAATGGTGGGTGCTTTGATGTAGTCAGTGTAGTCTGCTTCATCTATTTTCCATCATTGCTGCACTGTTTCTGTTGTCTTTTCTTGGCAAAACACGAACGACTGCTACCGCGCTGACATGCTGTAAACAATAAATTGTACAGCGACAGTCCATTAGTACAATTGCTAGCACTTTTAATACTATTTTACTTTTATGGTGATTTACAATGTAGAGAAGCATAATCATACCAGTAGCCATTCAGAAGTACCAATGCTCACTTTTCTATTTTCAAAACCATGCTTTTGACATTTGCCTCCTCTTCACCAAATATATAATGATTCAAGGCCTTGTATGCTAGTTTATAGCATGGGTTTTCTCCCCTTTTGTTGACTATTTGGTGGCTACATCATTTGTCCATCTTGTAAAAGAAGCTTTAGTTCTTAGAGATGCAAGCTGAAATATTATGTTATATTTTAAAATTTTATTGCACTGGTTGTAGGGCATGGACGGAGAGTAATGCTTTGGATCCCTTTTGTTTCTTTTTATTTTTTTTACTTTTTTGGGGGGGGTTAGTGTTTTACGGCGCTCGCAACTGCATAAGGTTATATTAGCGCGCGGGACACTCCAAACATTTTCAATTTGTAGAAAATTTTGAATTTTTCCCGGGTGGCGGCCTAAGCCAACTCTTATCGATTTTAGACCACCAAGGGATCTTTAATGTGTGCAACTTGCTCACGGGCCCTCCAAGATTTTTCGCCCTTGTCCGAGAAGGCTTGGTGTAGATCTTTCCTACCAGAAGATCAGTGGTGTGGCTGAAAGACAGCAGTAAGAAGGAGCCAAGGAATAGCAGTAGAAAGGCTGCATAAAGAGTCAGGAGCCCAGAGGAGAGGGGGGGGGGGCAAAGGAGGTGAGTGGGTGGGGGACAGAAAGAGGAGAGGAAAGCAGACAACAGAACATTCCTGGAGAGAAGGAAAGGAGGTGAAAGGAGACAATTTTAGAGAAGAAAATTTTTCAGACGCTACCTGGATTTGAACTGGGGACCTTTGAATGAGAGGCCAACACCTTAACCTTTAGGCCTCGAGAGCCCATCTTTCAACTTTTGAGGTTCCATGGCAATTATTTTCATTAGGCGTCTATGTTTGAAATGACTATACTTGCCTGTGGCACAGTCTGTAACATAGACCTAGCAAAATCCTGTTGAATGTTTTAAGATTAGCCTCTACCTCACACGCGGAAAGTATCTTCTACAGGACATCAGTAGAACCCTGAATTAAAATTTAATTTAAATTAAATTGTTCTTATTTTGTGTGTGTGGGGGGGGGGGGGGGGGGGTTAAAGATCATAAGAGGGTAAAGTGAATAGGAAATGTTAATATGCCCTATTGTATACTCATGCCAAAACCATGCCTTCTGAAAGCACTCTTGTACAAGGCTTCTGGATATAAATCAAATGCCATCCAGAAGAAAGTCACACCCCCCAAAAAGGGCTTCTAACAGGCTAAATGGTTTGTAATTTTAGGACCTGCAAAGTTCTGTAACCATTATGTTATGCAGGCTTTGCTGAGTTCACAGAAGAAATTACTTTATTTGGTCCCTTTACGGTATTATCAGCTCTACTCTGCCATTGTTTTTATGCTTGTTGTTGTTGTCATGCAGCTACATGTACCATAGTGACCTTGACAGATGGTTCTTTGTCGCGCACTTTCTTGACATGTCACATGGTTCTTTTCTCATGCCCAGTTTGGGTTTCAGGCACAGAATGTGGGCTGCATTTCTGAATCTTTGCTTTGGAGAATATAATGACCCTCGTACTATTAAGGTTTTGTCTCCAAGATGAACATGTAATAGATAAACCCCTATAGTTGTAAGGTCACAGTAAGTAGAATGAGGAAGAAAACTGTGAAAGGTGCTTTGGAAAGTGTCGCATGTTAGCTTAGATCTGGTGTTGAAATAATCCTCTTTGTCCACATATTCAGAAGTATAAAAAACTCAGAGCTTTTTAAAAGATTAATTATATTCCAATTTTTTTGTGTGGTGATTCGTTGTTTTGATGTGAGTAAGGGTGCTACCAGCACTGAAGGTGCCAATTTTGTTTCGCTCAATTTCTAGTTTCTGATAGGCTTGTTTCATGTGTGTAGACATTCAATTTGAGAGGTCAGGCAGTTAAAAAAAAACCTAACCTACAAACAACCTTTAGTAGAGGAGGAGTATTTCGGCTTTGATACTGCTTTTAGCCTCCAATACTGATCACCTCTGTCTCTTATTACATAACTATTGCTGTGGATGAAGTCTTTGTTCGTGCAAGAGAAGATCTTTTTGATGAACTCGAGATCTAATTTATTTTCATACTTACACTTTGTTTATTGTTGTTGGTAAAAGAAGATTTGAACTTTTTAAAATGGAAAATATTTATACTTTATACTATTCCTATTCAGAAAAATAGAAATGTAGAAATAAGCAGTAAGTTTCATGAATTTTTAAAGACCGTATTTTGTCATTGTTTCTCATTCCCTTTGTCAGTCTTTTGCAAATCTGTTCTGTTCTTGACTTTACTTTAACTTTTCCGATCCAGCAGCCATCTGTGTTCTAGCCCTTTGGCCTGTCAATATGGCAAAAAATTTACAGGTTGATTGTGTTCTTGATAGATTGTACTGGAAACCTACTGTTGACATGACATCATTAGTTGACTTTCTTTAATGTCAATGCATCTGTGTATTCTGTTTATGTGATTAATTACTATTGGTGATCATTTTCAAAATCTTCTGTTAATAGGTGCAGCCATTTGATTTTCTTGTGTCTTGAGGATTGGGGAGGGGGGGGGGGGGTTTAGAAATACTCTTTCAGTAAATCCAGTCCAGACACCTACTATCAGAGATGCCACTTTTCCCGCTTTTTTCAGGTATTTCCGGTATTTTGATCCTGATCCGCTCTTCCGTTATTGAGATCGAGATATAATCTATAGTTGGAAAAAAAAAAAAGAAAAAAAAGCCCCCCCACACACACAACAACTTGCGCCAAATGGTCAAATAACGGAAAAACGAAGACTTCACCATAAGTTCTAATAACGGGGAGAAAAAAACCGCGGAAGATTTGTTTGTCATTTCTGTCTATGTACACCCTCTGGGTTTCAAATTGATATTCATATGTTAGCGAGACCGTGGCGCGTGGATTTTCAGCTATTTTCAAAAAAGTTGAGTGGCATCCCTGTACTATAGTTGTAAAAAGACAAACTGACAAATTTTTATCGACGTAAGGTACACATTCTGTCTGCTTGTATTACGATGTGTTTTTTCCCTTTTCTTTTTTGTTAGGAATTGTGCGTACTAGGAGATGAACAGGGTTGTCCAGATATAATATATAGTAATAAACAATGTCCATGTATACCTCGTGCAAAGTGTTTGTAAAAGTTCCTTGCTCTCTTCGGAGATGTGAACTGACTTCATGACATATTGCACTCGATTCCCTTTTGTTGTTGTAAATTAATCTTTCATTATGGTATTTTACTAGTGCAATACTTTGGTGGAATCCACTATTTATTATATTACCCTTTTGCTGAATTAATATTATTCAGCCTTTTATTCCCTTGTTCGTTTACCTGGGTTATGTATTCACCCAGATTTTTATCAAATTTTCCAGGCGTCCCTCTTGTTTGCTTGTTCTGCCGCTAGAAGACTGTTTTTGATTGTTTGATAAAGCAAAAGTCTTTACTTTACGCAATCTACTACTTTGTGTTCCTTTAATTTCTTTTTTCAGCAAAGCATATGGAAAGGATGGCAGTGGTCCATATGAAATATGAAAGAAAGGCAGTAGTATGTGACTTACATGCTATTGTTCCTCTGAAATCTTCAAATGTATTAAGATCAAAATGATGTATTATATATATAAATCAATACTAATACATCATTTTGATCTAATACATCATTTTGATCTCATACATCATTTTGATTTTGATCTAATACATCATTTTGATTTTGATCTAATACATCATTTTGATCTAATACATCCTTTTGATTTTAATACATTTGAAGATTTCAGGGGAATAGTGGCATATTATATGAAGTCACATACTATTGCGTTTCTATCACATTTCATACGGACCACTTCCAGCCTCTCCTTTCATACATGTAATTAGTACATAGTGCTGTAAATATATCACTGGTTCATTGTTCATTGTTTCAGGAAGCAACATCCCTGCACTCCGGACATGTCTCTCTCCAAAATGTTGCCGAGGGTCCTTCCACTGATTGTGCCAGTGCACATCTGGTTGAACGTTCTTCTGTTCTTTCCTGCAAGGATGCCAGATTTTCCGCTTCCTTTTAGTTTTCCCAAAAGCGTCATCCTCTCCACGGCAGTACTGACTTCTGCCTCCCTATCTTCCTTCTCAATCAGCTGGCGAGAGAGACATTTCAGGATCTCGATCCTATCTGGTTGAGCCATTAGTACGTGGCTCCAGCTGTTTCAGATAAAAGTAATTTTGAGTTATAAGACAAAAACAACCCACACAATACATTTAAACAAAGACAAAAATTGAAAGTTGTGACTAATGCTATCCTCCTCCCCCTGTACATGTACTCTTCATTTGGATTCATCATCAATGCCTTTCACTCCTGGCAGGGTATAGGCCACATACAAGTACAAGCTCCTTCCAAATATCTCTGTCCTGGGCCATCCTTCCAAGCCTGTTCCAAGTGAGCTTCAGCTCTATCATGTCCCTTTCCACACATCATCTCCATGTTTCCCGTGGCCTACCCCTGCCTTATACTCCCTGTGGGTTCCACTGCAGCGACTGTCTTTTGATGTTTCCACTGGGCTTTCTGAGGCTGCATCCCATCCATCGTCACTTTCGCAGTCCTCTTTCTTCTTCTATATCCTTTTGTTCTGTCCTTTCC